GGAATTCAAAGAACTGAGCTCCATTTAAAAATGGATGTTAAAAAATAACTTCAAGGATATTTTAAAAATCATTGTCAAGCCCTTTTTTTGCAATTACAGTGAATTCAATTTGTCATAGGGTATTAAAATATACTATTTAAGAATAGAAGAAACCACTTAATCACCTACCAAAAGACAACAAATTCCACTCTGCTGCTCATGTGCAGAAATCTATAACATCCTTTACTATAGCATATTTTCTGTGATGACCCAAGTCTTGTGCCAAATGCACCAGGAGAAGCAATACACTTCCTTGGGTAGAATAACTCCAACTGCTAATTAACTCTTTCCTGTCTTTAGATTACAGCTATTTGCTTACTTTTTGCTTCCTTTGTTTCATTTCTCTCTTCTGCTCAAATAAAAGGTAGAATTATACTTCAACAGACAGTATTCTCCATGCATTAAAAAAAAAAAAAAAAAAGGATCTTTAAACAAACCACTTCTCTATCTTATTTTTGATAAACTACATCAGAGGAGCCCCGATAGTGCATTTATAAGGACTTCACTGCCAACTTCCAAATATTAATTCTTCTCTGCTCACTTTCTGAATTCTCAATTTCTCCCTAAAGTAATTCAAACTTAAAAATTTGGACAAAAAAAGGTTGTACTAGTATTGTAGCATCAGTCTCATCAATTTTGAATGGATAGTCAAAATGACCTCTTTGCATCATTTTGTACATTCAGCTCAAATATAAATCACCTTAGCTGTCTTAAAATGCTTCTCAACCAGGATCAGCAGATAACTCAGAGTCAGTGTTTTCCAGGGTATTACTCCCCATTACACAGACATGTCTAGCATTTGGCTTAATTAAAATAACCTTTATTTAAAATGGATTCAGCTTTTCAAGTGATCTAACTCAGTTCTAAGGACTAGTCTCACTTATCACCTTTTAGCAGTTGTCTTTCTTTTTCATCAGCAAGGTTATGTTTTCTTCAGCATCAGTCATGAAGATAATTAAAAGGAAGAGTTGAAACACAGGTGAAATTCACAAAAGCTCTTCATTTTGATATTTCACTATTAACAACTGCTTTTTGTCAGCTACAATTTCGTAGTAAATTAGCTTTTAGCTGAGCTTAATGAGTACTGTATATTGTCCATCTCAACTACCCTAAGAGGAGCAAAGTCACATTTGGCCCAATTTGGTTCAAAATGGCTAACACCAGTTGCTTCAGGGAAAGGGTTAGCAACATTAAAAAGTAATTATGCTTCCACACCCATACTTTCAGAGGCTAACTTATCCAAGAAGTCCAGAGGCATATAAGCTTTAATAACACTAGTGTTACTATAGCTCTTCATATTATACATCCATTAATAACCATTCTTTGGCTGTTTAAAACCTATTGCAAGTCTCTGTAACATTATATGGCAGGAAAATTCAAATGTTATTAATTACTGTGTGCAAAAATATAATGAATAAATTTTGAATTTTCTACAGTTCAGTTTCATTTTACCTCAAGGGTTCCAACTGTAGTTTACTGCCAGAAGGGACTAGAGCCAAAGCTGGTATCTCCCAGAAATTTCTAAGACAATGAATGCTACAAAATTAAATAATTTGGCTCTTCAGCAAAACATCTGAGTATCTTAATTCAACAATATTGGTCCCTGAATGAGCCAATGAGACGGCTCACTATCCTATTAACTGCTTTTGCATGTGTTCAGATTATTTTGGCTACTCACCTTTTGGACTTGCTCTTAGCTCTCCTGATTATTTCTGTATATATACTGCCTACTGTGGATTATGATAATTTTATTGCCCTCCATAGAGTTGGTTTCTCCATTTTCTCTAGGCTATTTGGCTTCAATGATCTTGTCAAACAGGCATTGCAAGCTCAGTCTAACCATTTCTCTGCATGCTCTGTATACACCTAACAACAACTCTGTATACACCTAACAATAACTACCATGTATTCCAACTGCGTATAAAATAATAATGCATGACTGTATTACAATATATCCATGTACTATGTCTGCATACACAATAATCCCTGACTTAAAAACAAAATTTTAACTGTTTTCACAAAAAGGTGAGTTTTAGTCTAAAGTTTTTTCATTGGAATAAAACTAAAAATTTTGAGAAAACCATTCACAATGGAAACAAACTACTGTATAACACAGTGTGCTTTGCATCTTTAAAATTACCAATATTAAAACTGTTACAATTAATTTAACTAATGGACCGCTACTTACCTATAATATTTGCATTTGGAAATGCTCAAATATTTCTGAGTTTATTTTACATTATTTTCATTGCTGATTTTAAGCAGCAGCCAATCACCAAACAGCTGCTTGCCCATACTCCCCCTCCTCCAGTAGGATGGGGAAGAGAATAGGAAAAGAGAAAGTGAGAAAAATTGTTGGTCAGGATAGAGGCAGTTTCAGCAGTAAAGGAAAAAGATGGAAAAATAAACGAAAAACAAACAAACCAACTAAAACCAAAAAAATCCAACCCAGATAATGCAAAGGCAATCATTCACCACGTTCCACAAGTAGACATGCTCAGCCACTGGTAGCAACAGCTACCTCCTCAAAAAAGCTTTTGTTGCCAAGAATGGTACTCTGTGACAATAAATAACTCTCTGGTCAATTTAGCTCATCTGTCCAGGTTGTGTCCCCTCACACCCTCTTTCCCATCCTCAGCTTACTCATAGCAGGGACATGGGAAAAGAGAGCACCTTGGCACCGCAAATACTACACAGTGATAGCCAAAACAGTGGCGTGTTATCAACACTGTTTCAGTCACAAACCCAAAACACAGCACCATACATGAAGAAATTGAACTCAATTCCAATCAGAGTACACTAAGACACTGTAAAATATAACTAGGAATTATCTCAGCTCTGACTTCAGTGAGATACTGTCATATTTTGCTGAAATAATGTCTCTTGTATGTTTTTGGCATTGGTGGTCAGCCTAAATCGTGTACTGATTTTCTGCAGATTCATTTAAGAAGAGACATACACACCTCTCTGCTATGCCTCCTAGCCCAGAAGACATTAGACAACATTTTGATTTCTGCACAATCCTGACACCTCAAGAGCTCAGCAGCATTAGAGGATAACCAACACCCCTGCTTGAGCTCAGATCTGTGCTTTGTGAAAGCATCTCTTCTAGTCTAAACTCTTTTACAAATCAAATAGCAGCATCCTGTGATCTCCTCAATAATCCCAGCTGCTTGCTCTAAGGGGTTTTGAAAATTCATGTGACTACTTTGACAAAAGAAAGTTTGACTGTCTTTGAACCTGCTTTCAAAGACAAAGTTATACAAGTCAAGCTATCACCCATGGAGTATTCTGGTTAGCTTTGACAATGATGGATACCTTTCATGACCATTTCCCAGATCCCTTATGCCTACACTTCACAACTGTCCTTAATGATGAATGACAGTCATCTGTAATGAATGACAATTTTCCAGTACTCTCATCCCCAAAGAAATGGCATTATCATCACATATTCTTGCTATAATTTATCAGGGTGAAAAAATACAATCTCTGATTACTCAATTCTTTATTAATGTAATAACTTAAACAAATACTACTTTATACATTTTGAGATGCAGATGGGAAAGTATATCAAGTTCTTCAGTAGAATATACTGTATTCATTACTTTAGGAACTGTAAATCTCACTCTTTAATGAAAATGCAATGTGGAGAAGACAGATTTTATGATTTGAAACTAGTTCAGATGTCCTAGCTGAGTCCTGAATAAATAAATTGACTGCTATAAAAAAAGGGATATTTAAAACTGTGTTTTGAATAGAAGGCTCATTCTCACCACTGACAAAAGTGGCAATTTTATTTGCTTAGTGAGGTTGTTTTAGTTTTATACACTTATATCTTCACTGATTCCAGATGGAATAGCCCAGCTAACACACCCTCTAGAAAAAGTCATTTATTCAAGCTTGCACTTTGTGAGAAAAGGTCTCACCTTAGACCACCATTATTGGCAATGATTACTTTTTACTGGCAGATTCAATTGAATTTATCTTAACAAATAAAGAAAGCTTGCCTGAAAATTGTTATTTCTGTTGCAGTAGCATTAAAGGTCCACAGATCAGGACTTCCCTGTGCCTGTACTTTATAAAAGCATAATGAAAATACTGCACATAGAACAAAGTGCTTGACATCTAACCAAAGAAAACTATAATCTAAATGTCAATCTTCAAATATAAAGAAACATGGCAAGTATAGAAGCATGAAAATCCCAGAACCAATGTGAAAACATTCATCAACTTCATGGGTACTGACATTAGAGAACTTGAGTCTTGGATTTTGTAATGACATCACCTTATGACCATTAGTGATGATTAGTGATTCTTCTTATGACAAGAACTTTTAAAAGAGAAAAATCTTCCTGCATTGTCAGAACCGTTCGCAAGAACCTCCTCCCAGGCTTGCAGGACAGAAAAAGTGAAAGTATGAAGGGTTTTTCTTTAAAACAAGATGTAAAGGAACCTAAAACAACATGCCACTTAAGAAGATGCATGATCTCCTACTACAAGGGGAACTAGCTTTTTTTTCTTCTTTTGAATTGTATGTGGATGAACATGAATGTACTTTTCTTAGAGTGTAGAGATTTTATATCTGAGATTGGGATATGTCTGTAATATCCATTTTCAGTATGAGACATGAGGATAATTAGTTTCCAGGGACTGGCACAAAGCAGTAAGTCAGTGCTGCTGCAGTGAGAGAATGCATGTGTACACAAAAGGGTAGGAAGATGACTGTGAAGGGAGACATATAAAAACTACTTCCCAAGGCAGACACACAAAAAAGAAATTGCCAGATGGTAGCAAGAAGTATTCTCCATTTGCTTGTGCATTCATCACCTTTGGGAACCTTGTGCATGCTTACATTTGTGGTTTTGATCTTTATAAATCTAATTGCTTCAGAAGGCACATAATTTTTACTTACAGACTGATTCAGCACCACTTGTATGGTCCAGCTGTGCTGCCTGTGGAACATAGGGCATCTTCTCTGACTCCTGCAGCAGCCTCAGAAAAACCTTTCATGAAAGTAGAAAAAAGCAATTTAGAATCTATTTTCTAAAACTATTTTATATACATATATACATATATATATATATATATATATATATATATATATCCTAAACCATCCAGACTGTCAGAAATTACTACTGACTGCTGTAAACACCTTGCTGGACTATGACTACAAAGTTAGTCAAGCTCTTCAGTTAAAATCTTGTGGATAAAGGAAATGAAATAAATGTCAATAGATGCAAAAACACCCATGCAAAACATTGCTGACCTATGAACACTACTATCTGCGAAGATTTTTCAGTAGACTGTCTGGCCTTGATTGACCTTTTATGCTTCTAAGCCTTGGTATGTGTTGGAACTCAGTTACTGCAGTTTCTAACAAGGAAACAGCTTAACTCTTTTCTGATGCTCCAGCTAGAAATCTATGGGCACAACTGGAACTGTTACCAAAGAGCTCTAGTTGTACTAGAACACCTAAATCTAATGTACAAAATCCTACAGAGCTGAGAACCTACAGATTCCAGGGAATTCAGAGTGTCTAGGGACACTCAGGAAACTTTCCTAGATATGTGCAAACACATGGACAACAACGTTACGGAAAGATATTGAAAGGACAAGGCAATCATCAGAGACAGCCAAGGTGAACAAAGTCTTGATACTGCAGAGAGGACTGTGCAACAATGTGTGTTTTGTAGCAAAACATTAGTATGCATGCACCAAATTGGGTAGAGATGATAGGATTCTGTTACCTAAAATCACCATGAGAAAAACTGAAATTACTTTATAATAAAAGCAACAATCTAAAAATATGCACTAGAATGAAATTGAAAGGTTTGATTTTTCTAAAGTAGGGGAATGCATGTCAGAAGGTACTTAAAATTATAAAAACCCAGCAGAATTCACCAACTTCATAATCATGAGGTCTATTTAAATGGTATATACACTTTTCCAAACAGATTTGTGTTCAACCTACTATTTCTTCCTTAAACCTGTTTCACAGTTCTGTCCACATAAAGCCCTTTGAATTTCACAGACATGCATTTCATTTATCTGTACCTCGGCCTTGCAGAAGCTTTCATAGTGAGCCTTATTCACACACTCCCCACTTCTTGTAAGCTCAAACTAAAAACACAATTAACATTTTCTTATCTTAACCTGAACTGCAATTTAAACAGTGATCTAAGAACCTCAAGTAAAAAAAAAAAAAAAAAAAAAAAATTTACAGAAATTACAGGTACCATGATCATCTCAAATTAAACAGAAAAAGAACAATTTTTTTCTTTGTCTTGATGAAAGTTTTCTTTTGCTCTTTCCTCTCTGTTTGGGTTGAGCTGCAAGACAGATTATACCCACAGTGCAACTTTCAGAAATCATTAGAAACCATTTATTTCTTCCCACAAAAGAACCTGATCTCAGCTATAACAAAAAATTCCTTGTTTCCAAGGAGCTCATACAATAGACAATAAAAACCAGTCAATGTGAAGTATTTTATAGCTCTTAAAAGATATTTCTTGACTTTCTAAGGTCTAACTGTTACATATTTTGCTTAGTCAATATAATTGCCATTTAACAGTGGTTATTGATTGCACTTGTTACCTGCCAGCTTTCAGGGAACAACTTTGGCCATTAACAACTGCAAGGCCAGAAATTTCTGGCCTGGTATTTCTGTATTAGACCCTGGAGGCACATCCTGACAGTCTAAAGCCACATTCTAATTTGTTATCTTGGACTTGCTTGCTGGTGGCTCTGAACACCAATTCTGTCAAGCAAACCAAACTAAATTGCAACAACTGAATCGCAGAATCACTGCATGCCCTGTGTTTGAAGGGACCTTTAAGATCATCTAGTTTCAACCCCTCTGCCATCGACAAGAACACGTTCCAATGGACCAGACTCCTCAGAACTCCAAGCAGCCTAGTCTTGAACACTTCCAAGGATGGGAGATGCACAGCTTCTCTGGACAACCTGATACACTGCCTCACCACCACCACAAAACAGAATTCATTCCTAATGTCTAATTTAAACCTACTCCCCTTTGTCCTGTCACTGCATGCTCTTGTAAAAAGTCCCTCTCCCTCCAATAGGCTCCCTTCAGATACTACAAGGTCACAATTAGGTCACCTCAAAGTCTTCTCCTCTTCCAGCTAACAATCCTAACTCTCTCAGCCTTTCCTTAAGGGAGAGGTTCTCCATCCATCTGTTCACCTTGGTGGCCTCCTCTGCACTCACTCCAACAGTTCCCTGTCCCTCATGAGCTGGGGCTCCCAGAGCTGGCTGCAGCACTGCAGGTGGGGGTCTCATCAGAGCAGAGCAGAGGGGCAGAATCCCCTCCCTCCCCTGCTGGCCACGCTGCTTTGGATGCAGCCCAGGACACATTTGGCTCTCTGGGCTGTGAGTGCCCATGGCTGGGTCATGTCCAGCCTCTCATCCACCAGCACCCCCAAGTCCTTCTGGACAGGGCTACCCTTGGTCTGTTCATCCCCAGCCTGTGTTTGTACTGGATGTTGCCCAGACCCAGGTGCAGCACCAACACTTGGTCTTGTTGGACCTCATAAGATTCCCACAGGCCCAGTCTTGATCCTGTCTAGCTCCCTCCAGATGGCATCCTGTCCTTCAGGTGCGTCAACAACTTGGTGAAACCACAAAGTAACTACACATCTGTGGTTAGGACAATGCCTACACTACAAAACATTGCCTGCATATGTTTACTTCAGTGCCAAAACAGCTGCAGACACATTTTCTTATTTAATCTATATTTAAGTCACTGTAGAGAGGATGTAGTTATACCCTAAAAAAATAAACAAACCCACCAAATGCTTTTTAAATACATCCTCTGTCTGTTGTAGCTTCATTGACACATACTCTAATACAGCTATAAAGGCAGAAGGCCACCTGCATTGCCCAGTCCTCCCCATGGTATCCAGTTTTCAACATCCTCTTAAGAATGGGAATCATTAGGGACTACATTGTACAGAAGACATGATAATTTACCTGATGTTGCACCAGATATTCTGAACAGAAGTGGTATTATCCTAACAATGTTATTAACAAAGTGAGTACCCTCTGAAACACACAGGCATGGAAAAGTCAGGATCAGACATCATGACAGACAGTATGTTCTTGCTACATTTAAATGAAGGTGTATTCTAGACCTCAGCAGAGTATCCTTTCCCCACATGCCTTAGCAATTGCTGCTTGCTCAGTTGGTCAGGGCATGGTGTTAATGACAGCAAGGTTGTGATTCAATCCACATGTGGGCCATTCACTTAAGACCAGGACTTGATGACCCTTTTGGGTCCCTTCCAGTTCAGAATGTTCTGTGAAACTCTGTAATTCTCTGAAACTGTTTTTATTTCTGTTTTGACTAGCAAGTCTCTATCTGACTAAGGACTTGTCCTTGTCAAGGACAAAAAGGGCTTTTTGTTCTTGAGGAAAAAATCTGGCCAAACGACAATATTACAGTGAAATACATTAATGTGACTGTGTCATCACTAGAATGTATTGGAGCATCCTGAATCTCACTAGAAGGTGCACATCATTTCAAGGAGGTATATGCATTTCCCTGGAAAGTTTTGATGCAAACTCTCACGTAATTTCAAAGAAAATAATTTCAAAGCAGTACTCAATTAACAAATTTTGACACATCTTATTTTGAAAAGGTGTTACAACTGTTTTGTTCTCCTCTCAAAGAACAGCAAGAAAGCAATAAGCTTTGAAATCTCCAGAGTTGCCAGAAAGTGAAAAAGCATCCTTCAGAGAGCTCTTAGTATACGCTCAACTTAATTAATTACCCTTCTATTCTCCTTTTGGTTCTGTCAACACTTCGGATTACAGGTATTATAGAATACACAAATACAAATGGTTGGAAAATATATCTAAAGCCTAAATTTGAGCAAATATAATATTAGTGAGTTTTACAGGTGTCAGAAACTGATTTGTTAGGACTTCAAGATTCCTTTGAAATATGAATGGAAGTCCATTTTCCCTCAGTGAACACAATTTTTAGAGAGTGTGAGTGTCCCTCAGAATAAAAAGAATAATGGTGAGTAACAGAATATAAGAGAATAAAAAAAATTATAATACATTTCTTCCTTTAAGCCCAGAGTTCTTTGTTTCCCGATTGAATTGCTTGAATAGATTAAATAGTGCTATTATGTGCTATCCTTTTAGCTCCCAATGCAAAGGGCTTTTATAAGATAATAGAGAATTGAGGTTGTGATGACAACTAACGATGAGATGCAGAGATGACAGAAATCAACCCAAATTAATGCATTAAATCTTCAAGCTGAAGAATGATACATTAATATCTAATATCACATTTAAAGACGTTTTTAACTTCCCCTTCACAGAACAGCTAAAAGTAAGCTCTCAACTGAGTCACAGATTCAGCTCATTGAGGAATCTTCCTCACATCATGACAACTTCACATTTACTTTATACATGTCAGTTCTGGAAAGTCCTATGTTATCTCATGGGGATGTAACCCAAAAGTATTCTTAATACATACATTACTCCAAATTTGCAATGTTTGGCAGTGAACAATATTATTCCTTATACCATGTTAATAATCCATCTTCTATATGAAAATAAAAACTTCAATATTTTTTATTTGCCTCATAGAATTGTATCTCAGGAATCTAATTTACGTAATATTAAATAAAATGTTTATTAAACTTGTAAATTATGTATGATAGGAGACATTAGTCTCCTATCATCACTTGAGGTGAAAAAAATTATTTCTAAAGGATCTGTAGTACAGTACTTGGATAGTGGTGGTTTACGGAATCTTGTTATTTAGAAATTATAGATGGGGTAAAAAGAGTCCAAGGAAGGGAAATAACCTCTTGCTGACACGGCTATTTATACAGTGCTAAATTCAGAATTATGTAGATGCATAACAGACTCTCTTCCTCTGATCCATTTAGTATATGCACACACATACTTGTACATGTATGTGTGTATATATGTTGATATATATCAAACACTTTCTCTCCCAGTATACACAGAAAATATTCTTTAGGTATTTCATCACACAGTTTGGCTAAGTCCTAAGCTTCAGAACTAGTAAGTTGAAATGTATTCTTAGCTTTTTTTTTTTTTTCCAGTCCAAATAGCCACCTGAGCTGAATCACCAGACTTGAAAGCCCAAAGCTTGCTATGGGCTTAGGACAACACTGCTTCTCATAAAGTCAATGACACATTACATTTCTCTTAAGTTAATGCAGAAAAAATAAACATTTAAGGTTTACACAGGTCATCAGTCTTCACATTAGATTCTTAAAAGAAAAGAATATGCCGTAGTAGAGTGGGTGCTGAAATTAACAGCAAAGCAAAACTACACAGTATAGATTTTACCTGATTTGGGAGGATTTGTTTGTTTGTTTTTGTTTTGGGTTTTGTTTTTGTTTTTTTTTTTTTTAAACGTGCTTCTCACATGAAATTGTGCAATATAAAAGATACTGTCAAGATTCTCTAACCAAGAAAATGTCATTACACAGAAAAACTACAAGTACCTCTTCCAAAGTTGTGTCAGAAATGCCATAGCCAGTCACATGTAGATGCTGAAGACTTTGATCTAAAGCTTGGAAAAGACCTTTAAAAGAGGTCTTATCTGCCCTTTCTGGGATCACATAGGTCAGCTCAGTTCCACTGTTATCTTTCAAGAAGGCTTCTGGAATGTGGGTCTGTACCAGAGAAGTGACCTGAACAATGTGCTTAGGGTCCTGGATTTCAAACACAGAGGGCTATGAAGAAAGAAAGATAATCATGCAGAAAAAAATAAATATTACCAGAAGCATTGGTCTTACTATTAGAATGCATGCAGGAAAAATTCCACTGATGAAACTGCATCACAGCTGGGATACAGAAACTACCTCCCAGGAATAAAGGACAGTGAGACAAGCCCATTTTCAGCTAAATAGTGATACTCACCATTTTCAAATATGTCATTGTGTTCATCTAAATAGTAATAATAATACCACCCACCCAGAACAACCAAGGAAGCTGATAAAAACCTGTTTTGTGGTTCTCCAATAATCATATTACTAAACATATTAATCCCTGGCAGGAACATACATCTCCCTTAAAATGTACTTGGCAGGCACTCTCCAGTTCAGTACCGTACATTTTTAACTTACCTTTTTTATGAGTGTTAGACTGTGTCCCTGGCCATATGTCTCCCTCAGATAAGAGGGAGAGCCACAGCACCTCAGCTGGCCATGCTGCAGGATGGCAATGCGATCACTGAGCACCTCGGCCTCATCAAGATGGTGAGTGGTAAAAATCAGGGTACAACCTGCATGACAAAGATTGGTACATGTCTACAAAACCTGGCTTCTAGGGAAATCCCTCACAAGGGATTCTCTAGCCCTAGGCAAACATATTTTCAGGACTCTTCTAAATCTTAACTACAGGATGCAAACAAAATATGCTGTCAGAACTATGAATTGAGTTAGATTCAATTCTAAACTTACTTTGCCCTGTTTTATACAAAGCAAACATTATTAAGGCTTTAGAACCTCCAGTTTTAAAAGCTTAAGAAATTCCTTAAAATTGCATAACAGCAGTGTCTCTTTCAATGGATCACTCAATGTGAGTTATTACAGCTAATTGAGTGCTCACTAGCTGAAGAGTTTGCTTCCCACAATCAATTTTAAAATTAGCGTAGCAGACTGACGATGAATATATTTTAATTAGAAGTATATAAGCATCTATATACAGGTATGTGCAAAATAGGAAATGGAAACCAGAAAGTAATTTTGAGAAGCTGAAGAAAGGGGACAAACTTCAGGATAGGGCTTAGGACTAAGCTCAGTCTTTTTTAAGTTTGGGCATCTTTCTGTGCGATAGCAGATAATTCTTGTAATACCATTTGACTTGCCTTAAAGTTATCAAGATCAACTTAATATTTCCTCAGAAATTAATGTATTTAGCTTCCAATAATATTTTGACTACACTTTGACTATCCAGTTTAAATTTATTTAAAAAAAAAAAACAGAAAATAAGCAGCAAATGATGTGCATAAACTTTGTACCAGCTTTGTACTTCAGAAGAACATCCCAGATACTACGGCGAGAGCATGGATCTACTCCACTCGTGGGCTCGTCCAGAACAACTGTCTTTGAGTTTCCAATGAAGGAGATGGCAATTGACAGCCTCCTTTTCATTCCCCCAGAAAGGGCTCCAACAGGTTTGTACTGATGTTGGGATAAATCCACATCTTCCAGAGCTCTGAAATAGGAATACAGAAGCAGGACCAATTTTGAAAATGCTTTTCTAGTCACATTCCGTCCACTCAGAGAACAAGTACTGAAAAGTCATTGCAAATGGAAAGCAATAAAATCACTACCTCTATCTGATTTTATACTTTCATAACAAAAACAAATAGGAAAAAAAAAATCTCTACTACAAAGCATAAATGCTTATCATCCTCAGATGCACAGATTTTAAATAATATTGTAAAGGAAAATTTTAAATTAAAGATAATAAAATTAATACTAGTTTTTCCAACAACTTCAGCAAATTACAGATTATAGTCCCTTTAAAAATTATAAAGGCTGCTAGTTTTGTGAAATAAACTGATAAGAGATCCCTGTGTAGAATAATACTATCTAATCAAATCTAATCTAATTAAAATCTGATCTAATTCCTATGTTAAGGACTGGGAGATATCTTACAGATGTTTCCAATTCAGCCCTTGCTCTTGCAGACACTGATCTTGCATCTGAGCATGGAAATGGTATGGAAACATGATTAATAAAGGCAACACTATAAGGCCTTTAACTTATTTTTCATCACACTGAGCATACAGTCACTGACCTAAGAGCTTTCTATCAGCTTGGGAAGCAAGACATAGAAGGCTCAACAGTCCTATGCTAAACTCCTGAATCATTTCAGTGAATATGCAGTCTGAGTGAATAAATGATGCCATTTATCCTGAGAGAATTTCAAATTAAAAAAAAACAAACACATTTCAATAGCTGTTCTGTAGGTATATAATGAGAAAAATTATTCTTAATCTCTTCAGAAACCCACTTTTTTAGTTAATAAAAAGCTTTTGCTTAATTCTTTTGTTGCTTTTCTAATTTCTCTGAAGTCTTTTAAAGCATTTGTTGCCTTTAAAAATCATTTTTCTTAGTAGCAAGGCCTGCAGAGTTCTGAGTATTCTCCTGTGCCATTAGCATGACAGACTGCTGCTAGAATTACAATTCAGCAGTCTAAGTACATTAAGATACAGAATATTATTTCACATCAATTTAATAAGTTTGTTTTTTCTCTGTAGTTCTTGAGAATTCCTGCTGTTGCTTCTGGAGAGACTACGGTGTCCACACCTGAGTTTGTTCAGATCGAAATTTAAAAGTAACAGGCTTTTATGATTGCTCTCAAAAAGTAAAGCCACTTTGCCAGAAATGCCTCTGCATATGCCTGATTGTACACTTAAGGAGAAGTCCCATCAACCTGACATTTGTTTCCATTGAAGCATGGAAATGCCCAGCCCTTCATAGAGTCTAGCATGAATCAGAAGGTAAACACAAACTATTCAGACTGCCACACTGTTTGAAAAGCACACCTTTTATTTCTGAAGTAGAATAAATGCAGTTTGCTATTAATGCACCAGATCTCAGCTTGTACAGTTTACTAGTTAGTTTAATATACACTAGGAAAAATTAAGATCTAGTCCTGCATTGAAGAAGTATCAGCAAAAAAACACTAGCAATTGTTTAGAACCTGACAAGTGGCAAATCCTCTCAGTTCATGTCAGAGCTCTGGCTTATTTTTGCTATTGCATTTTTCATTTTTAACCCTATCATTTATTAAAAATATTTCAAGGCTGGATTTGTCAAAGGAAAATGAGGTGGCTTATTTAAAAATATTGTAGCAATCACTGCCTTTACCTGGATTTTCTGGTTTTCTAAACTTCCTTCTGTTGCAGGTGAAGGAATACAGGATAATAAATATATAAAGTAATTTTGTTGATTTACTTAAAAACTTGGGGCAAGCACAGCAGTTTTCTTTCTATCTGCTTCTCCATCAAGGATAGAGGTAAGGCAGACAGCATGAGGAGGAACCCCTGCAACTTTTACAAGGTTAACCACCTCCTCTCCAGTGAAAACATCATTATTTGATGGTTCAGTATACCAGGTTTTTAAACACTGACAGCTCCTTCAACAAGTATATTCGAGTAATAGTTAGACACTAGGAAATCTATTTTCAAGTCATGATTTCAGAATATGAAATGTGACAAAAACTCACAAAACCCTGCAGTTTCCATTGGTTTTTTTTTTCTTGTAAGTTTTGCATTTTCTCTTTTTTATTTGGGTGGCTTGCAACAGTCATTACCATTTTACTTGAGAGTTTTCAAGAAAAGGAAGGAAAACTCACCCACTGACTTGCTCATCCAACTGTTCCTTTGTCCACCCTGGTGCCTTCACTGACCCATAAAGCAGGAGATGCTCTCGCACCGTCAGCGTGTTGAACAGGACATCGTACTGGGGACAGACACCCAGCTCTGTCCTGATGGCAGCCAGTTCAGTCCGGATGTCCTTCCCATCAACAATAATGGTACCAGAGCTTGGTGGATACACACCAGTCAACAGGGATCTGATGTAAGAAAAGAAAAAAAAAAAATCTGCAAGATAAACTGCAGTTAGCTCATCACTTAGATATCCTGAGGCATGTTTTAACATCCTTAGAGTAACACCAATTCAGTCGAGTATAGTTATAGAAATATCACTAATGTTTTGGGTTTGGGCTTAGCTACTTTTTAGGTTTGGTGGCTTTTTGGGTTTGGCTTTTCTTTTTGGTTGGTTGGTTGGTTTGTTGATGGGTTTTTTGTTTTGTTTTTTGTACATGATCTCAAGAGTTCCTAACTTCTCCTCCTCCAGAGACAAATCTTTTTTTTCTTCCCAAGCAAATCTAGCAAGTGGTTGTTTCCTTCTTCACATGGGTATTCTGTAGGTCCCACCCCACGTTACTGGATTAATGAAAGCTGATTATAGCTAACAGAAAGGTAGAAACATAAACTTCTTAGTTGAGACATTTTGAAAGTTAATTTTTCATTTTATTACTTTCATTTCTGGTCAACTGCCAAGAAAGAAGTCCTTTGCAAATTCTAGGGACAAAAACACCATGAAACTTCATGCTCTCTATGTGATAGGTTGCCAGAAAAGAACACTCCTTCAAGATGTGTTCAACTCCACAACCAGACATGCCCAAGTCCTACTTAAGGTGTTCCTGAGATATCACATCATGGTTTAAGTGGCACAGAGGACTCAGTTCTCTACTGAGAACATTACATTCCTTTCATCATAGATATACAACGTCCACTTTCCATGAGCTTTGAGCAGTTTATCAAATATTTATCTGGGGGGGGGGAAAAAAAAGCATAGCAAATAGTTCACAGAATTTTAAACTGAAAAAGCATAGCAGAGATCAGAAGGGACAGTAACAGCATTAAAAGTCAGGCTTACATAACCGTTGTCTTTCCAGCTCCATTAGGTCCCAGGAGTGCAGTTATCTGGCCCTTATGGAAAGTGAGGTTGAGATCTCTGACAGCCACCTTCTGACCATCCAAGTGCTCTTTGGTGAGGGACAGCAGCACAACACCGATGGTGGCTCCTTCAGTGCAAGGGACTTTCCAGCCCTGAGGTGCTGGGTCTGTGTGGGGAAAAGTAGCAGATCAGGTTGCTTAATCTAAGCATGCGTTTGTGCATAAAAGGAATAAAAAAATAACTTAATTTCTCCTACCATTTACAAAAACCTAGAACAGATGTTCAAATTGACTGAACTGACATAAACTACACTGAAATTAAACTTATCACTCCAATTAATGTTTGCTAAGAATTTGGCCCATTTGTTATGCCAAGTAATGTGCATGTCTACATATGTCTTGATAAAGTCATAAAATAGGCGCTATATTTTATTTCTAGTAAAAGAAATACTTATAATAACATTACTTGAATCATTTTTTATGCCCTTAAGCATTAGAACATTCTAACTGCATAAGATACTTCATATATGTCATCCAGTTTCAGGCACACAATATTGACATAATATTCACAGGCACAGGCAGTTAATCTTCTCAATTCCCCTCAGTCAACTAAACAAAGCAGACCTCTGAAACAATTCAGAGCAGCAGCCTAGTCCAAGTATAATTCAAAGTGCTCAAGGCAAGCAGATATCCAGCAGCTTTCTAGCTGTGAGGTAACATCCTCAGGAAACTGAGATGCCATATGACACCAATGAAGTTGCCTTCTTTTCCATGTCAGGTTTGCACTACTTTCCAAACACAAGCACAGTCAACTAGCAGCCCCATTACATTATTCATGTTTACTATTTTATTGACTCATTACCACTTAGAGATCTGGCAGTGAGTTGGTTTATTTTATTTCTAAGCAAAGGCAAGCCAAACTGGAATGTTAGTCCAAAGTAACAAACTTTTATGCCTGAGAATTATGAGAAGAGAGAACTATCTTTATGAATAAACATATATATATATGATATTTATGGCTTATATTTATTTTCTTTGCAATACTTTTATGTAAATAAAATGCAAACATTACAAGAACAGAGAACTATCCTATACATAAAGTGCTTGAATCAGATAAATCAAATTATAAATTAAAAATACATAATTATTTCAAAGATTGGTTTGTTTACACTGTGAATGAAGAAGTTATTTTGCCGCTTCCACACTCAATTTTAAGCTTCTGACAAAAATTCTTTCTAAACTTGATGTCACTTGCTAGCAAGGTCCTACCAGCAGTTGTGACACTGCTGAGATCTCCTACCCATGCACCTCTCTTCCAGGTACCTTTCTGCTGTTTCCTAAATTTGCCTTCTTTAAATTAACAAAAAACCATTCAAGTGCAGAGGGGCCTCAGACAATGTAGTTCAGGAAAGACTCAGAGGGAGAGCTCCAAGTTCCTTGCAAGCACTAAACTGATTACCCTGGGAGTTCTCCAAAGGGGAGCTCCAAGTGGGTACACAGCATCCTGGTCACTGCCAGCCCTGCTGTAGTTCCAGTTCCAGCTGTGGAACCTGGGCTCCCAGCTCTTCCCTCACACACCTCTGATTTCCTAAATGTTCCCTCTGGGACCAGCCCTTAGCTGGGCTGTATGGAACAAGTGAAGAAATTGCCTAGAACAAAGTCACTTTGCTGCTCCTAGAAAATTCTTCATGGCTGCTTTTTTCTCATTGTCAGTACAATGGCACACAATTCTTTTAAAGGACAGCAAGCTCCTTTGCTGCAGAGTTTTAGCATTCACACACAATTTGCTATCAACCACATGACATGAGGAAATCACTTAAAGAATTTGAGCCAGAAACCACACTAAAACTGGTCAGGTAACGAAGTCTGTTTTCTGGAAATTATGTGGCGTACCCAGAAGGAAACTATGGAAATCCTCATTTTATGTAAGGACCAAACACAATTGTCTTAACAAAATGGAGTTGTTCCAAATTGCAGAAATTCAGACAAAACTAATACAAAAAGTTTTTCCACAAGGGTTTAAAATGAACTTCAAGACATTTTGAAGCCTGCTCCAGTCTAGAAGACACCTGAACAACTGTTGAGTTGTTCAGCTTCTTCACCTATGCTACAGACAGCTGGATCATTTCTAAGATATTGCAACTCCCAAAAAAACACAACAACCCATCATGTTGTTCTAAGGCCCAAGGTGGAATACAGGTGAGAGTAACTTACTCCTTCATTTCCAAAACCTAAATTAAATGTGGGAACATCCTTAAAGGGACTGGGGAGGGGGGAAAAAGGTAAAAAAATCTGAATTAATTGTAAGCAAGTGAACATACATAGAAGAGCAGTGAAATTGGAGGCCAATAAAAATTAGTTACAATAAGAGTTTTCTAGACAAAAGGCTAAGAAGAAGAGACAGAAAGAACAGTGATTATCAAAGAGGAAGATTAGAAACAGAAGGGAAAAAAATGAACAAAGTTAATTTTTCCACTGAAACAAGAAGGAAATTGTTAAAAAGTTAATAAAGCCCAACAAGTTTCAGATTCAGTAAGAGTATGAAAGCGTTCAGTGAATTCCAAAAGATCCAAACAAAGCAAAGGGGCAGTACACTGGGACAAGATGACCCAACATATACTTATTTTACATCTTTCAAAGAGTTTTCTTAAATATTTCTGTATAATAATTTTCAGAATGAATCAATCATTCAGGAGGTAGCAAAATGTAACAGTTACAATATAATAGTCATAGTATATACTACATAATGAAAGAGAAAAAGAGATAAGATGTAAACATATAATACAGGACCAAGCAATGATAAAAGCAGATTTACTATGACTAGCACACCATTCAGAAAAAAAACCAATTGCTCAAATTCTATTACTACAAACCTTTTTCTTGGAAGTTTTCATTGAAGAAAAACATATTAGAATTCAGATAATGTCTCTTGCTTCTCTCTGTACCACACAGGTTCTTCCAGTAGGAAACAGTAAAGGGAAAGTACCACTGGTTCTTCAATCCAAATTTTCCTATGTTAGAATTGTGATATAAACTGTTGAAAAACTTATAGTCATTTTGCATCTTTTTGTAAACTATAAATGTCCTATTATTGCTTACAATGAGTTGGTTAAACCATTTAATTAGCCCAAATATTTTTTCTACTTAAAAATGTTAATAAAGCGCAAAAAAAAAAAAAAAGTTTTTTGGCCATAAAACCAGGTCCTTCCATAAAATAATCAAGCCTCAATGATGCTTTACCCTGTTTCCAAATCAGCTTCAAAGTGTAACAGAATCACAGACCTAACATAATCTTGTAACCCATAGGGAAGAAAATGCACCACATAGTTTACCAAGTGAAAGAGTCTATATTTTTTATTATAAAAATTGTCCATTGCAGCACTTCTTCCATTAATATCTGCAAAATGCAAACAAACCAGCCACCAAAAGAAACACTAATTGGGGCACACACACAAAAAGGGCAAAACCGCGGTTCTGTATATAAACTAACCTTTGGCAGTGCCTGATCTTTTCAGGCATTACTTACCCATCACACAGTACACACTCTGGAGTGTCATTATGTTGACACTGAAGGTCAAGTGTCAATTGAAGATGAAGTTTTTTTAATTCTGTTGCATATATCACCCACCTCTCTCTTTCAAAGCAAAATAAAATTTAATTTAATAAAAAAAGAAATACAAAGTAGCCACAAGAAAAATCCACATAAGCAAATCAGAGGAAAGGTAAATCATCAGAGGAAAGATAAAACATACAGTGAGGCATGAGGCCACGATTAAAAATACATCAACCAACTCAATAAGACTTATAAAACTTGGTTCATGAAAAAATTTAAATAAACACACCACTACTTTCCAAAGATATACTTGAAAACCAATTTGTTTTCTCTATACGCTGGACTGTGGACTGATTGGGAACGAGATACAGTTACTGTGCTGTCTGAAGTTTTCTTGATCCCAAAACATGCTGTTGTTCATGGGTTTCAGCCAGGTACTGACAGGAGATTCACCACTTTTCCAGGAAGTTTTGCTTCTAGACTAAGCTCTTTTACTGTGACGATCCAATAAATTCCTAATTCTACCAAATATTTGGCATACCCATCAGCAAACAAAAGATATTTCATGCCTGGCAACAAATTCTAGTCCATGAGTTAGCACTAGTCAGTATTTATGTATTTAGGAAGATGTTGCTTCCCAGTCCCTAAAGAAAGTCAGACAGTTTTGCACAACAGAACCATAACTCAGAAAAATACATATTTTTGTTTTATTTTCATAAAGCCAAGAAAGACAATGCCACAATAAGTGTTTCCTATGGTGACTGAATGTTTACATTGTGAAGATATGAATGGATGAATAATATTAAATAATTTCTTCAAAAACATGAGATAAGAACAAGCCTTGTGATCTTACCAGGAATAATATTGCTGAAATACCAGCCACCTACAAAATATAAAATGGAGTCAAAGAACATCATCCAGCACATCCATCCAAAGGTCATGTATCCTCCTTGTGCCGTTGACTGGTGCAGATTATCCCACTGAATTCCTGGTAGTAATAATAATGATTTTTTTAAAGGTCAAAGCTAGATCAGCACAGCATTAAAGATCACAACACATCAACACCACACACTTCTGGGCATTTAAGCACTGGCACAAGACAAACTATAGCTAATAACAGTAATCCTAATGAACAGAAAAAAAATTCTATGCCTCTACAAGCCTGTGTTTAGAACAGCAGGTGACACTGCTGCTGGGAAAATGTAGGGAAGCTGTTTTAGAAAGGGTTGTTTATGAAGTTTTAGCTTAATTTAGGCCCTTAATTTGGCAAAAGAAAAAGAACTACAACACTGACAAAATGAATCGGGCTTTAAGCCACACTGCTATTATAAAGAAAAGGATTACACAAAGTTTAATGTCATTTCTATAATGCTAAATCTGAAGATTTAAATCTGTGAATTCTAACTAAGAAGCATTGTGTACATTGACTGCATTTAGAGGTAAACATGAATGAACTCACTGAATAATTGCTTACTAAAATTATTACATTGCAGAAGACACAAAAGGAAAAAAGAAGGTGCAAACACTAGTGCTACAGGAAGGTACCATACTGCTAAATGGAAAACAAAAGTAACAAAGTTGTAAATTTATTAATAATATTGCATTTTTTAAATTGAACATGCCACTTTGTTTGCAGTACAGTGGATCATGATATTGCTTCTACAATTCTTTTTCCACAATTGTCAAGGAAAGCAGTTTCTCCCAAAACACATTTTGCCATTCCTTCAGTAAAATGAGTCATTTTGATGAAGTGTCTGGTGGGAAATTTAAGCAATATAGTCTGCAATTTTCTCTTCCACTCTTACAAACTGTTGTACCATTATGACACTTTTTCAATAGTTTGAAATATCCACTGTCATGAATATTGTTCTTGCCATAATAGTAAAAAAAATTATTACATCTATTAATATATCTGAACTTGATCCAGCTTATTAATTTATTAGAGATTTTTCAGAAGAGACTGGAAAACATTTCCAACTGTAGTTTTTCAAATAATAATTACAAAGCTTTTCTCCTAACCAAAGACCTTACCTATTTCTTGGCCCTCAAAATATGTAATGAAAAATATTCCTTGCCCAAAGGCGGTTGTAGAAAGAAGACACTACAACATCAGAGGAGAAAAAGCATGTGAACATCAAATAAAAACACGCTGTTAACAAGTTCCATGAAAGAAAATATATTGTGATACTAAAATCAAGCACAAACTATATAGACCTTTTTTCTTTCCTCCATATAGGCTAATGGTTGCTATTTCATTTTATGTTTTAACCATACTTCCCCCCACAAACCTTGCCAGTATTTGTTCCACCTAACAGAGCTCCCCTGACCTAGTTACTAATACAGGAAAGTGTTATTTTATCTGACCAACTGACACTGAAAAAACAAGCATTTTTTAACAGTGTATGTATTATTCCACCAGCCTAATTTAGTGAGTTTTTTTTTTGAAATAGTGAAGCCATGATGTGTGAAATATGTTTTCTTTATATGATGGTGATACTTGATGTCACATTCAGGGACGTGGTATTTTAGCACAGTACAAAGACATAAAACAGGCTATGGAATACATTGAACAGGAAAGGACCTGAAAGAACCTACACCAAAGAAGCACATAGCTCAGATTATATGGTTGGACAAATTTCTGTTATATTCTCCAATTATATTAACAGAAAATCAATCACTAGTTTTTTTCCATATAAATAATGACTTTGCGAAGTGGCACGTCATCACCTGATCTTGAAAATACACTAATGTTACAAATATTTTGAGGTCAAGACATTAAGAGAACTCACGAGTATGAGGAATGCAACTTCCTGATATTTCCTGTAGATTTACAAAATTAACCTGGCACATTATTTTCATTCCTTTCTATCTCTAAACATTTTCTTAGTTGAAGATTTATTAGTATGATTTATTTCCAATAGCCACAAAAGCAAACACAGGAAAAAATAAATACATTATGAAGTACGAAGTTTTGAAACTATACAAATTCACAGCATAGTTGGAGGAGGAAAACTACAAAAGAAGAAGTATTTACCATTATAATCTGGTTGGTGAAACTCAGCTGGTTCTGCAAGACCAACAAAACTATGTAGGGTAAAAAGCTGATCATATAGACAAGGCTGGCACACAGAGCTGCTGTATCGGCACTGCTGAAAAACGCTCCCAAAAAATAGCTTAACATGATGACTGTAACTCCAAATTCCAGGAGAAAAAGGAAGATAAGGAAACCATTGCTATAAGCAAAGATACCACTTGCTTTTAAAATGATGGCCAGAGCACAGCTGCTTACTGTGAGCACAATGACATTCTCCAAAAACCAAGCAAAGAAATGAATGGCTGGATACACACCCATTGTCTTCATATACTGCAAAACAACAGAGCAGAGAGTTAAAGACAGGAAACAAACTTGATTTTCCTTTTTCTTTTTTAAACAAAGCATTTTTGTCACCGAGACACTACCAGCTTCCCAAAGGATGTCATCTTCCCCTTAAATTTCTTGTTTCTTTGCCCTTGTGCTGTGCTCTCTCCTGGATCAGACAGATTGAGCAGGGCAGTCTCTGAGATCATCACACATGAGCACAAGGAATCACCATGCTCTGCAAAACTCTCTTTTGCATAGCGTTTCAAAAACAGAGGTCAGATTACTGGTTCTTCCAGCGAGGATTTTGCCTTTTTATACTCTAAAAGTACTGAGAATATACCACAGCAATATATGTAAAAATATTTTTTTCTGAGCCTGTTTCTCTTCTGAAAGAGGCATACAGTTTGTAACCTTTATGCATTACCAGGCAAATAATAATTTAGCCGGGTATGAAGTACATCCCTCTTTTTCTAAACATATGCTTTTGGATACAAGCTAATAAAACCTTTGAAGCAGCTCTCATAAAATCATCAAAATTAATATTAAGTTGATTTAATATTTTGGAACATTAAAAAAGCTTACCTTACAACAGGAAGATTAGAGAAATTAGATAATTAAATTATCTAATTATCCCCAAATTAATCAATTATCCCCAGATTAAAAATTTTACTCAAGCGGTAATTCTGCTGATCCAGTGAAATTAGTGTAATTCATTAAAAAAATATATTTAACCCTATAGAAAATGCATCACAAGGACTCTGTCCTTCCAAATGCTTAGCACCTGTGAAGACTAGCTGTTAATAGAAGCAAATAATTGTCTCTTTTTTCTTTTGGTATGCAATTTCCCTTTTATTTCTGATAATTACACAGTTTATAATAAATTCTTACCTTATTTTAGGTAGTTTTATCATTACAGACTACATAGAGCAAAATATGAAAAATAATCCAAAACAAAAATCATTCTAATCACAAGGCCTTCCAAATAACATTTTCCAGCTTGAACTTTTGCTTGTTGCTTTTTGTCTCATGGACAATATTTGCATACTTTTGCTCAAATAATGTTTTGAAACTGGGTTGGCAGCTAGAACTAGGGCTTACTGCCCAGAGGAAACAAGTGAAAACAAAGCCATCTGGATTATGAGTACTTAAAAGTACTTCACAACTTTTGTATTTCAGTGCACCTAAATAAATAAATTTTCTTTTCAGAGGTTAATCTACCTCTTACCTCTTCAAGATGAATTTCTCTTTCATAAACCAGCTTGCGAACCATACCAGCAACTGAAACCATCCATGTTAACATCATCATGAGTGGGAAAAAAAACCCTATGTTGTTCAAGAATCTAAGAAAGAACAAATATGAGGAGTTGTCAGCCCACAAAGGTAAACTATTTTCTGCAGAATGTTAATAGGTTAATACTGGAACTGTTCTCAAAATAAGATCTAACATGAACAATGAGATTTATTCCTGATCTGGTTAGAATTATTTATTTTTTATGTAACAAGCTAAATGTATGTACTGGTACAATATTATTATACTAATTTTATATATTATAATATTTTAAACCATCGAGCTGATATAATTACTCTTTGGGGCTCCATTCAAAATCAAACAAAATTCAGATCTGTGTTGATGGCAAAGTAATATATTTGGACAACAAGGAATAATATGACCCAGTCAATTTTCACTCCACTTTAACAAATTTATTAACATTGACTAATGTTAAAATCTAATAGTTGGGATGTTTTGATGGTTTTACAGAGAACAACCCTACACTTTTATTTCATCAACTTCACCCTTCAAGGGACCAATTTACAGTTTGTGTACAGGACAACTAAGGATTTTAAAAGGGATCTCTTAAAATAATTTAAGGTCATTGCGAGCTATGTTGACACAGCCTCTGTCGAGCAGACTACTCCACATTATGACTGCAAACATTTTGTAGGGGGTCGTTTGCCAGACCAACATTGTATAACATGTTATGTTAAACACAGCTGTTGGGCAATATTTGCTCTGCTGTAATACATCTGGTATTGGATGCACTTGTTTAAGCCTGTGTAGAGATACACATTCACTCACTGAAAAGTGGGAACGTAGTAGGACCCCAAGTTCTTTAGTACTAATCTAACAAGGAAAATACTTCAAATTAAAAAGCTGAAATTTTACTTACAGATCACTGGTATGACAAGGGTAAGGCATGGCTTGCACCTGAATTGCTGTTTCTGAGGTGTCTGTCCCAGTCTGTGCTGAAATAATTGCCCTTTCAATCATATCTTGAAGAGGAATAAAGACATGGTTGTATTTAAACCCATCAGCTGGCAACTTGTGGGGGTGGGATTTCCATGTTGGATTTTTAATCAAATCTGTTCTCATGCTGTAGAGAACACTGGTTCTAATTGTATATGAAATGCGTCTTGGAAGGAGATTGCTGGAATCTTGCTTCTTGTCCTCTGGTGTACTGAAGAGGATACCTGACATAAGAAAGGAAGCTTCATAACTAAGCTTATATAATTTATGCTATTTCCATAACTAACTCATGGCTAATTACCACGTGATATAGGATGCATTAATCTGTCAGGGCAGGCCTCCAAACTCTCATGATCCCAAGCCCAAAAATGGCAGGTTTCAGAGACACATTTTTCACGTTCATGAATATGAAATGTAAGATGATTCACATGATAAATGGGTTCATAAAAATCATTTTTATCTGAGGTGATTTGTCTTTTTTTGAGCTGCAGTTTTTGCTTTGCATCCACATTTAGTCCTTTTTGGGGGGCTGATATCAGTTCCACAGTAAAAGCAGCAGCCATAAAATTTGTGCATCAAAGCATCAACAGCTTTCATAAGTAGATGACAAAGTAAACAACACCAACCCACTAAAATATATTCTGATATTAATCTTTAAGTCAATTGCAGTAGTTCTAGTTTAGCACAGCAGAATTTGCACATTTGTTTTCCCTAGCTCTCTATAAAGGAAAAGAAACCCCAACCAAACAGATGAAAGCTTAACATGTAGCTGTAAAGATGAAGCCAAATACATGAAACTGCTTGTGTTCTCTTTTTGTGTGATCCAGACCTTTTAGGACTTCCAGATAAATTCTAAATGTTGCCCTTTTCTTCTTTGGGAAAAGGGAGAGATAGCTTACCTACCAGCTGGTTCTCTGAAAGATAATAAAATACAGAATACTTTACTCCAAACCCGATTTCTTTCAACTGGCCAATCTCATTTTCCCATTTACACAAACAGCTGATTTTCTAAGAAAATCCATGAAGCTATGAAGGCTCTGAAGACCACAAAAAAAAAAAAAAAAAAAAAGAAAGAAAGGAAGGAAAATTCTATTCCAGTTTAATGTCTTTCTATGGAAAGGAATGTATGCCTACATCAGAGGATGTAACATTGACATGTTGGACACATTCCATTCCTTAGAACACCATCTTCTAATAATGTGAGGAGATAATAAGGCCAGAGTACTGAAAAATACACACAAAAAATGTCTTTACTTATATTAGCATATGACCCTTCCCTATGTAAGTGGAACAAAAATGAAACTATGATTTGGTAATTCAGTTTTCTGAGGGCCAAGACTTATCTGCCCATTTCTTTCCTTAAAGAGGAACAGTTTGCCTTCTCTGAAGTACTCTTGAGCAATTCTCCTTGTCTCAAGGTATAGCCTGTTTGTTTCATATTGATAGAGGGTGGCAATTGCCAGGGTACTGTAGATCACAAAACAAGCACGAGATTCCAGACTGAACAGTTTCCTTCTTTACAAGTGCTTTCTCATGTCTTCTGTTGTACCCTTACAGGCATAAGGGGGACAAAACACCCCAAAAAAGATAGTGGGAAAATGTTGTGGAACACTTTTTATAGACTTAAAGGGGCCTCTCTTTTGGAAACACTACCTGCAATCAGCATTTTCTGCAAGACAAGTGTGTATGTTAAGGGGAAATATTCTTGCCTTTTAAAATCTTTTGCAAAATAATTGATTCTCAGTAACAAGCATATAATGCAGGAAAAAGAGAAAAAGTGTAATCCCAAGGAAGGAAATAAATACCTTAAGAACTCATTTACTCGGAATAAACAAACTAATTTGTCTGAGGGGTTGGTTTAAGAGTAAATCTTAACAAATGCCCTTTCTTTCCTCCTTTTTGAAAAGTCCAGAATAAAAAGAACAAATTTTGAAAGGATGTAAGCAAGATGACCTTGTCATCTTGTTAAGCTTCCTCAGTATTCCACATTTTTTATCTTTTTCTTCTTTATATATTTATAACCATTCCTTTAAACATTTTGATAGAAATAAGAGACTCCAAGGATTCATTCATTCAGCCATTTCACAGTTAAAACAGTATAATTAGTGTTTCCAGCTTACATTACAGCATTTAAATGTGCTTTATGTTGACTGTATTATATGTGATTTAATGCACGCTTTGAAACTGTGTAACCTTTACCTACCTTATCAATAAACAGACAACAAATACAAAGTCTGAGATTTTCTGTAAAAATACATTTTACATAAGGTACTTACTAGCCAAAAGATTATTTTCCTGGATGAGTTCATGAGCCTTCTCCTCCAATTTCTCTATAGAGTCAAAAGGCTGGAAACGGTCCAGTAACACACAGGAAGAGATATTTACAACAAGCTGTGTCAACAGGTCAATCTCTTTACTTGCTGAGCTGTTAAGCATCTTGTTTGTCATAGTTTCTAAGATAAGGAAACAAATAGGACTTGCTTAATTTTAATGATCAGAACAGAAGGGTATGTTATCACTTGCACATCCTATGAGACTAAATCCTCATTGTATTAAAAAAAAAGTAGCTTAAAAGACACAGAAATTTTAGTTTGAACTTGTGGAAGTGCAGTTCATGTTTCAGTGTCTTTTACAAGCCCTCAGCTGCTCTTTCCTTCAATTTCAGAGGTATAAAAATGTAACAAATTCTAGCAGAGTTACAGAAAGAGTCCACACCCTTGAACTTTTTCTTATTTTTCTATAACTACTCCCACAAATACAAGGGAATTACTGTACTTCAGATATCATAAGATATATTAATATGTCATTTAGTAACATATCAACCAGTTCTTTTCTCCTTGATACTGTGAATATTTCAAGAATCATGTTAAATAGAGCATAAGCATTTTGACAGGAGTCCTACATTTAAAAGAATCTGAAAAAGTCTAATAATCTCTTCATTTTTACTTTATCTATGGATCCAGGAGGAACATATACTTCAATCAAAACCTGGTTTCTAAAAAAACTCAACCTTTGGAGGAATTCAGATATTCATCCATTGGTAGGGAATGTAGGGAAAATGCTATATCCTTATGTTTGAAAGAATAATCAGAAGGACAGCATGAGCTAGAAACATGCTATCTAGATTTAATAAAAACACCTGAATTTCTCAGGTAATAAACAATGCTATAAAACATTCCACACAATTTTCCATCTTAAATTTTTCAACACTCACTTGAAGATATAATCTTTAAAAAAGGATAGATGATGACCTCCTATGATAAGAGTGGTGACAGACAAATCCTGGATCACAGATATTACTCAGCATCAGCACAGGAAATATTACAATAGGAAGGCAGATAAGTGGAAAATGTTTGAAGCAGTCTGAAGAAGAAGCATGATTAACAGTGAGAAGGGTAAAGTGCACAAGGAGAAAAAGCAGAGGAACTGACAGTCTAGAATTCAAAAGATAGACAAACAATGACAGGGTGAATTCATAGGTTGAGAGAAACCATAACAGAAGAAGAGAGGTAATAAAGAAGAGAAATAATAAAAGTCTTATTTATGGCTATCCTTGAAGAGGACAATAAAGGAAATACCCATGATGCCCCCTTTTTCACAGCATTAGAGAGAAGAGAATATTCCTAACATTAAGCCTGGATGGCAGGGTTTTCGTATACATTTTTGTGTATGTGTATGTAATTATACATAGCCCTATATGAAGTATTCTGTATGAAGACAGGCTGAGAGGGTTTGTGTTGCTCAACATGAAGAGAAAGTTCCAGACAGACCTTATACTACCTTCCAGATCTTATTATGGCCTGAAGGGGGCCAACAAAAAGGCTGGGGACAGACTTTTTACAAGGACACATACCAGTGGGACAAGAGGAAATGGCTTTAAACTGTAAGAGAGCAGATTTAGATTGGAACAGGTTGCCCAGAGAAGCTGTGAATGCCCCAAGCCTGGAAGTGTTCAAGGCAAGACTGGATGGGGCTCTGAGCAACCTGGTCTAGCATGAGGTGGCCCCGTGGCAGAAGGATTAGAATTATATCATCCTTAAGGTCCACAAAGCATTCTGTCACTGAGTGATAGATACACACACAAGACCTTAATTTGAAATCAATACTTAGCTAAGAAAAGCTTCTCTCATGAGTTAAATTGTTGATTATTTTAGCATAAGAAATAACATCTATATTGCTGTTGGCTTGGAGTGTGGTATACCTAAATATTTCTGGAAAAAAATATTGTCTTAATGGGCATGAACTTCTGTACTCCATCATAGAAACAACACATATATGAAAAAATGCAATCTACACGAATGTTTTAAAATCAAGATCTATGGAGTTGATTACCTTGTTTTTTCCCATTTATAAATGTAGCAATTATGAACAAATAGCTTGGTAAATCAATGTTCACTATTATCTTCATATTTCATTTAAAATCATGTCAGCCCTCATCTTCCTCTCAACTTGTTTAACCTATCATTAAGTAACTGGGAGGAAATACAAATGGTTTATGTAAAACCATTGGTAGAAGTGCTGTTTAAGTAAAAAAAAAAAAAAAGTTGCTGGATGAATAAATTAGAATAAATCAGGAATAAATAATTTTAGGTCACAAATTAGAAGAAAGTTTCTAGGTATCAGAAGATTTGGGTAGTGGCACAGTTTTCAGTGATGGCACTACAGCTATTTGTTTCCTGCCTTATAAATACACACTAACATTATCATTACAATGAGGGCAGCAGAGGGGTAGCACAAAGGAAAGCTCCTTGTTTTGGTATTCTTTTTATTGTCCTGGCTGTTATACACAGTGTCACATGTAGCCCTCTGTAAGGAGAGCCCTGGATAGTGAAAGAAGAAATCACAGAAGAAGGACAAGAGAGAGACTCAGCAAGCAAGAATTTAAAAGAGGAGCTTGCAGCACAAATGCCACTCAGTGTCTTGTGAAGGTTTGTAAGGACTGTGCCCAGCTCACAAGTTCTAGTGGATCAGGGTTTATACAAGATCAGTAGGAAATTATTCCAAGTTGCTGGGCTGCAAAGCAAGCATAGAGGAAAACAATTGCTTTGCCTACCCACACAGCAACTTAGAAAGTAAAGGGATTAAAAAGAAAACCACAAGCTTTTTAGCCCTCAGCCTAAATATTTACCTTGCTACACCTGAGTAAATATGACACAGTAATCTTGCTAAACAGTTTTAGAAACTGATAATTTTGTGAGGTCTTGAGGCATGATGATTTTATAGAGACATTGGAAGAGTTCTACATCTATTCACTTTGTCTATGACACTTTACAGCAGGAGAAGCACAGAAGAAATCATCACTAAGTCTGTTAACATTTTTTATATCATTGTAGAGAAATAAAGAAAGATACAAAGGCAAGCACCTTGTATTTGAGGATAATTAAAAGTCATCTGTATGAGACTGTAGATGTGATAAAAGATATTTGCTTTCGTTAGAAGACAATCACAGAGATCAGGAGATTTTAAAAAGCTGGAATTTTGGATGAAAATTAAAAAGATTGTGAGGGATAAAACCATTAACATGGATATATTCAAGGCTTTAATTGGATGCAAACAAGGTAATTACAGGACTGAACAGCTGATGCAATATAAGATTAATGAAATTTTAAAAAAAACCAAACATAAGAACAGGTTTATAGTTAAGTTAAACATGATTATTGTCCAATAAAATGAACAAAACGTACACAAGCTAAGATAAAAATAAGAGTGCATATAATTTTTCAAGAAGTAAAACAACCAAGTGAATCTATACAAAGAAGCATAATAAATCCAGAGGAGTGCTCTGGTGCTTTAGAGAGATCAGTTTCACAGAGGCATAAATGCTCTTGTGATCTATAGCCCCTATTGATTTCCAGTTTTTATATGATGCTAATTTTACCAACTGTATTCCCTTTAAATAAGGAAATCCTAGTTTCACAAGCCACTCAAACCATATTTTGTCTTGACCATCTGAACAATTAACCATTTATTATATATTATTAAATGTCCTTAGTTCTGTTAAAAAGCTATACCTTGAGCAACACAGGTACAGATTTCTTTGATGTTGCCTGCATCAGTGAAGATGGATCTGATAATTCCAGAGATCATGATATCTATTTAATGGAAGATTGTTTGTCTATAACCCATCATGTTGTTCTCACTGTTAGGTCCACAAAAAAGAAATCCAGCTATTACTCAACTAATAAATTGAAATAGCTGTTTTTCCAGCACACCCTGAAGCTTAAGAGACTTGCTCTTTCCTCCATCCTATCTTTCCAACATTGTGATTTTGTGAGTTTGGTTTTTAGATGTATTATGATCCATCTTCACCTCGATGGGTAAGCTGAGCCCATCTCAACCTAGTCAGCAGTCTCCTGGTCAAGAAAATCATCTGAAGAGAAAGCAGATTCAAATTTGAGTCCCTTGCCGAAGGAGGACACAGAGCCCAGATTCTTTCCAGTTTGAATTCCAGACGCCATTTCCATTTTTCTTACTGGAAGAGTGCACAGGAAGTCCTCGTCTTCAAAGAAAGCCTTCAAACTAAGGCCAATTTCAACTCAATCTCACAAGCTCTCTGCTAAAGTAAAGCCACACCAGCCACACCTACTGTGACTGCACCAGCTCAGGACAGTAGTACAGGTTAAGACTGAGAGCACACTTCATTTACAAGCTCTCAGGAGCCTCCATGGATTTTGTCCATCTCCTGCCTAGAGGCAGATTCTGAGGACCAATAAAAGTGTATTGCAGTAGTCTTAATTCTTTGACTATAAAGCAGACTTAATGACTTACATTTCTGTAAATTCAATGTTTTTAAATCAATGAGGGTCACAATGTTCTTCTGTGGGGGTACCTGAGAGCTCATCTCTTCCAGAGAAAGCAACTGGAACAGATTTCTGTTTGGCTCATAATGATCCTAAAAAGCACTGACCTGAAACCACACAGATCTCTCCCTTTCTACCACAATCCTCCTCTGGGAACTACTCTGCTCCCTTTGTCCATGATGTCACACTGTCTGTTATTGCATTTTATCCCATATTTGTCTCTTTCTGATTCTCAAAATCATGAACTTTTCTTACATGACATTGGAATCTGCTTCAGTAGAGAGATTTCCTTCTGGCACATGCTGGCAAGCATTTTAATGATCGTATACCTACCTTACTAAAAGCTAGACACACTGAATTTTTTTCAGTTATCAAATTCTTGTAAAATCATCAAGCAACATAAATTTACAGCATAATCCTTTCTATTCTCCTACTTAAATCCTTGAATATCCCAAATTAGTCAAAATAATAATTCCCTTTCTCCTCCATTAGTAACCATCCCCCTTGGGCTATCTCTCTGACCCTGGAGGCTCTCTGTTTGACTGCCAGGGGTCACTACCAAAGCAGAGAGGGATGTGCCCAGGGGGAGGCTGCCAGGCAGACCAATGAATCAGGGCCACTCCTTTCCCACCAGAGCTGCACAGAGCTGGCACTGGGCCTGGTCCTGCTCCAGGCTGCAGCTCCCACCGTTTCACACCTGGTTGTGGACCTGGGTCCACACTGCTTCCCACGGGGTGCTGTTCTGCACTCAGCATCATCCCCATGGCCCCACTGGGCTATCCCAGGTCTGGCACTGACCCAGGTTGCTTCTTATTGACAGTGCAGCTCCCTGGTTATAACCCTGTCTCAGGCTTTTCTGAGGCTCAACGACACCCCATACAACTGATTCTGAATAAAAAGAAAACATAAATACAGAGAGTTTTTGATCAAATGAGCTCTATCCAATCTCATTTTCTATTTATTTCCTTTAAAATTTACTACAAAAATATACTTCTGCCTAATGGAACTGTGGCTACAATGTTTATATCTCCCTTCACTCCTTTTAAGTATGGATGTTTGAGACTCTCCCATGACACTTTTCCACTTCTGACTTGTTACCAATATTGTTTCAGTATTTGAAATTCAAACTATTCAGTCACTCAAAAGAAAACAGATAATTACATTTGAGACTAACTCAAGAGGGTACAGTCTCTTATTATTTTACTTAAGTATCACTGAGGCAAGTAAAATATTCAATTTCAACTCAATGTAGTTCTAAGTTGAAGTCTAACAAGACTAACCATTACATGTACTTTCACATACGCACCATATGCTTGCATTTTTTTAAGAAGTTTTTCCACATTGATATCCAAATTACTTTCTATGAAATGTTTTATAAAATTGTTTTGCAGTGCTTCCTGAAATGAAAAGTGATAGATGTTACATCAGGTTTATCTTCTCTATGAAAATACAAAATATACATATGCATTAATGTTCAGTTTCATTACCAAGATTTCCTGCATGACACTGCAGAAGTCATTTAGCTTCTCCATGTCTTTCCCTCTTAACAGGTTAACACCGCACATTGCAAATAAATGGCAGGGGTGCAGGGAAGAGATTTTGGAAAGGTGACAGAGGAAGGCACAAATATGTACAATGGACAAACTCCACTAAGAAGAATGCTTCTCTTTTATAGTCCATATTTCTCTCATCAGTTTTTTTCATCAGTTTCACATCTTCCTGGCAAACATAAGCAATGAACAAACAAGTACCAGCACCATTTTATTTCCCCTGTGGTTCAGTGATACTGGAGCAATACTGGAGACAGGGAGGCAACACTTCTTTTAAGTATTTTCATGTCAGAAGTTTCTCAGCATCAGTCTCTAAGTCCATAACCTAAAGCTAATCTCCCTCTTTTTCAGCTCATTTTAAATCTGAAGTCAGATATATGGGCGGTTTTGCATGTATAGAAGAAATACTGTCTAGATCAAACAGCAAGAAGTTGGAAAATTGAAAGATCTCCCCCAGTTCACCAACCTGCAGTCGTGAGACTGTGAGGACATTTCCACTGGTTTTGAAAACCTCAGACATCCTAAGCCATGTCTCAGAATAACTCCTCAAGTTTTCCACAAAACCAAAAGTGAAATTAGCCTGGGGAAAAAAAAAAATACATGGAAACAATTTAAGTGAAATTTGTGCACAGTAGATTTTAAGAAACAGAAAAAACTGGCATGCTTTAGATCTTGTGCAACTCCTTTCCATTATATTTTGATGGTCAAGAGTAAGAATATCTGTTTTCTTTTTTTTTTCACCTAAGAAATTGAACATATTTTTTTCTATACCAAGAAAATCAAAGTTTTCCTATGCTCTGTATGTTTCCCATCTGAAGTATTAACAAAGACTTCTTTACTTTACAGTGTCTCTTTCATAGAAATATCATGAGTGTGCTTGAGAAAGACAGAAAAATAAATATAGTTGGGACATATTCAAAAGAAAGGCACTCAGTTCTGGGTCTTTTATTCAAACTAGTTTGACTGAGTACGTAATAAAATTGAAATTTGGAAGCACAGTTTGGACAATAAATATAACTGATCAATCAATCTCTTTCAAACTACTCTCACAGGGAAAGACTTGAGTAAAGCAAACTATTTTCTGTCCCAGTCAAACACAGGTTACAATTTCTCTCTTAGTAAACAACCAGCAATTTTTTTCCATCCTATTTTAAACAGATCATAAGTATACTCAAGACTAGAAAATATTGCAGTATCTTTTGTTTAAATTGGTGTTATCAGTCACAGAAGTGCATTTAAGAACAATCCAGCATAGTTGTTATGATAAAAATTGTGACATTTTCCAGCAGTGTCTGCAGTGAGTTATAAACTCCAATTTGAGACCACGCTTTTTGGAATTATTCCTGTTGAAAGTATACAATTTGTACCATAGCATCTTAAGTGCCTTTTTCAAAATCTCACTCTTAGCACAACATGAGAAAAGAATTTCTGGTCGCTCTTTCTTCCTCTTTGTAACACGGAGCACCCTAAAGAGACCATGCATGTAATTTTGTTTCCCTGAAAAACATTATGCATTTAACTTCTATGAGAATCCCTATTCCACTTTAAAGAATGATCATTCATAAGGATTAAAGACAAAGTGACCCTAGATGTTAAACTAAATCCTGCTGTCAAGTAGACTAAATAAGTTCTTCTGACCAAAAGTAACACAGAAATCTCATGGATAGAACCCCCCAGACCAGGCACGATGGTGACAAGATCAAGGAGACCAGGCTGCAAGGGTGGCAAACAGGCAGTCTGGGAAATTGCTTACTCCCAGGACAGAGCAACTACAGTTCACACCAGAACACGGGGATTCTTGGAGTCTCTGTGGTCGAGATGACCCTGAGGTGTTACAAAGTCTCCTTTTCCCAGCCCAGTGATGGAAGAAGGAGTCGGGATTCCTTGGCTCTGGTTTTCAAGGTTGTTTATTTTTTCTTATCAAATACACTATTTTCCTGACCTGCTGAGGTCTGTCTAGCAGGTCGGTTCATGGCACATTGCCCACCCTTGAGGTGGTGTCAACATTTTATACTAAGAACTACGTGTACTTTATTTACAATAATTTTCCAATATCTATCAGCTATGTTAGACAGTCTGTCTCTAAACCAATCTAAAAGTGCCACCATTACAGAGAAGATGGAGGCTAAGAAGGAGAAGGAGGAAGGACAGGGCATGCCCAAATTCCTCCATCTTGCCTCCTGAACCCCCCCTTCTAAAAACCCCAAAATTCTACCTTTTCATCCTGTGACAAACTAACTTTTATTCTACATAAACTCTTGTGGCTTGTAAATCTTCACACAAAGTTGGTAATTTTCTCCATGGGTTAAAATCAAAGGCACAGGTGTATTTGACTCTGTGCCAAGGTCTCTGAGCCCCCTGCCAGGGTCTCGAGCCATCCAGGGCAGTCAGAGGAATGTTCTGGGTTCTGATAGGAGATCAAACTTTCAGGCACCACTAGAAGCTTTTGTACCAAGCGGCTTGTAAGATTTGGGCTCAGTAGAGCTTAGTGCTTCTTAACTTGATTCTGAACAGCACAAAGGAATAATAATAATAAAAAATTAATTTTAAAAATGGAATTTGTTTAAAAGTAGTTTTGCTTTATCATTCATTCATTCATGACCATAGGCATTTGGGAAGTTCTTGTGTCAGACGCCTTCCCCACGCAGAACACTCTGGAGACTCTGTCTCTTACTGAAGCAGCAGTAAAAAATAAAGCCCTATAACTTAATGAAGTTAATGATACGTAGTTCCCAGGAAAAGATAATGTCAAGCCAAGAATTTCAAATGTACTCGAGGATTAAATAGCTGAACTACTCACTGTAGTGTAACTTCCTGATTAAAATTCCCTTGTTATGAGGGAAGTGGAAAATAACAAATGCAATGTTATTTATAAAGATGCTACTAATGCAGACTAATAATTCTGAAATCTAAGTTTTAATTTTTTATACTAATAATAAATTACAATAAAGAGTAGTAGTAAATAGAGAATATAAATAACTGCAGCTGGAAGGTAAAACATGGAGTATTAAAATAGAAGGTGCTGCAGTCTAAAGTGGAAGAACAAGCAAGTGAGGAAGAAGTGGTTGATGCAGAAGTCACCACAGGCACAATAAATACTAGGAATTCATATAACCCAAAAACCAAGTAGACAAATAATAGCAGCAAAGTCCTGGCAAGCCTGACCCCAACTTTTTTTTGGGAACAGCAGAAAATTCTTCAAAAGTGATTGTTGAATATTAGATCAACTCTGAAAATCTTCTGTGATAAGAAATACTTCCCTAAGATCAGTTCATCACTGGCAAAAATCTTAGTTGTGAAAGCAAAGATCAAAGACATCACATGAGGCCTTTGAACTCCTGGATGCCAGTTGGCACTGAACTGTTTTACCCTCAGTCATCACCACAGCCTGTTTCTGTGACTCTCACCACCATCACCCCACACAGCAGAATTGCTACCTTCTCTGAAACTCAAACCCAGCAACCTCACAGTTTATCAAAGAATGGTCAATTACATGCTCTGAAATTTAATAGCCCATGTGTAAAACTTAGATAATATGTCAGACTATACAAACATCATCGAAGCTGTAGTCTGCTACTTTTTTCTTCTAATAAATAGATGACATGTGACCACACAATCTAAAGAAATCTAGAAGTTTTCCAGTTTCAGTAGGACATCAGGCTTGTAAGGGTTGGGGTTTAGTAGCAACATTTGAGACACTGGGGACAGTATTTTGCATTTAAACTTTTTGTTCAAGCAATAGCTGAGAGATTTCCGTTATAATAAAAAGAAAATTTCCTACTACTTTCATATTTACACATAAACGATACCCATTCATAACTGCTTGTTAGATTTACAGGACTGAGAAGACAGGCAAGAGTGTATTTACAGATTTCTGAATAAGCTGATGGAACTTTTGTGAGCCTGAGAATATATAAGTAGAATAAGAGCTTCTACCACAATCTTTGTGTCATTCCAGAGCACTAAACCCCACCACCAAAGAAACAACCAATCAACAAACAAACCCAGAAAAACCAACCCACAAGCTAGCTTCTTTCTGAACTGTGCTATTCAGTCCAGATTTCACTTAGAGATCTGTGGGGGAATATACTGTATGTGAAGATATTCATCTTTCCTACAGATGTTTTTAGAATGGAGGTTTGGGATGTTAATTGGCAAAACAATGTGGAAATTATTATATTATTATATTATATATTATTATTATTATATTATATATATTATATTCTAAATGTCATTGTAACATAGAATGTAAGTCAAAAACATATGTAATATTTGTCATTTTTTTACAATGCTTTTTTTATAGAATTTCTATCTAGAAACATGAAGAACAGCTTTATTTTTAACTGACTAGAAATTTTAAGTTAATTATACTGTACTCCAGAGTGATAATCGATGTTCCCCAAATTAAGTTATTTAACAGCAAAACATGAAATCACTCAATCCTTTTTTCCAATTCAGAACAGATACTATAAAGTTACATAGTATCTGCTATCTACAGTGGGGATTTTGGCTTAGTTTTTTACTATATTTCTAGAACACAAATCATAATACCATAGAGTTTTCAATTTACAGAGAATACAGTTACCATCACATTTAAAGTTATTATGGTCTTTTTGTGTACCACTTACAAGCAGCAATTACTTTTTCCAAATTTCCATTCTTACAGTAAGTAATATTGCAGGTTAAAAGTCATATATTTAGAAGATCAATGCAAAATTTGTAGAGAAATCTAAAACAAGTCATAAACCTTCTCTTACAGAAGTGCCTCTAAGCTAGGCATGAAGAAACATGTCATTGTTAATAATCCCACTCAAGACAGAGCACCAACCATAGCAGAACTGCAGAGATAGTAAAACTCTTGAATACCATCATCAGCGTCCACACATACAGCACCTCAGTTACGATTGATCACTCAACTACTGGTGTTAGAAAGAATCAGTAAGGATGAACTACTTTTTTCTTTTTAATTTAGCTCAGTGGCTCCCTAAGAACAAGCTTTTCTTTCCCTGGGGCCATCCCTTCCCACAGGTCTTTATGCAGCCCCATTACAGTTCTCATGATAAGAAAATGTTAAAGGCAAAAGCTTTCCTAGAATATGTGCACCCTACACCTCGATTCAGCATGATTCACATGACACTTCTGCGAACGTGTTCTTTTTAATCTTTCCATACATGCTTTAAAGGACTTTGAGCAAAATTCTGCTTTTCACACTGAGTTTGAACCACTGTAACAAGTAGGATAAAAATTTAGAGAAGCATTAAGTTTAAAGTTGGAAACAGGTGAGGGCTCAGGGGGCAAGCTGGATCTATTTTTCTGAAAGGCAATTATCCAATTGCTTCTGGCTACCCTGAAAGAATTGGACGTTTAAAACAAATTGCAAAGACAAAATCAATACACAGAAATAGCGACATTTTTTGATGCTCACCTTCTCCATCACCAGGTCAATCATGCTGATGTTTGAATTGTACAGTATCTTCCCATGTAATAAAGGTTTCAGGAAAGTCCAGAGCAAAGCCCCATTAGGAGCCTGCAAAATTTCTTGATAAAGCTTCAAGCAAAAAGGAGCTGCAAAAACAAAGACAGATTCACATTTAAGATGAACAACAAAAGTGAGATTTAATTTTTTTTTATTCAAATAAAAGTTTGAGTCTTATTTTAGAGTCTACTACAGCACCATGCCAAAAACTGTTACCAGAGTTTTTGTAACAACACCATGCAATCATTATAGGTTCCTACAGAAATTGTTTAAACACAGTCTATGACAGTGTTGAGGATGCAGAACTCTAAACACTGAATAGGAAAAAAATCAGAACCTAGAGAGTTCCTCACGTTTCTGAAAAGCAGTCTGTATGAATCCTATCTGTCCTAAGTGTTCCATTAGAGCACTTTAGAGCAGAAGGACACATGCAAAACCTTTGCCCACACAAGTGAATTCAGAGGTAAAAGTCACCTTAAAACAGAGGAAAAAAAAAATTCCTTCCACACCCTTCATTGTTTGGCAGCTTTGGATTCCTATATAAGAAAGCAGTAGGAATATACAAAATCCTTCAGAAACACAGACTTTTCTTTTTGTATAATCTTACAAGAACCTACCAAAAAAACAGGGGAAAAGTTTTCAGGACACTTAACTTCTTGATTTGAAAAATCTAATCAATTGTATTTTCTATTCCTTATTTAAAAAAACATATTCCTACATCACATGGGGCTACTAATGCATTAATTAGGGTGTATATCCTTCAGAACTAAGACCTAAGGAATAGTTTCCAAGATATCCCATTACATTTGTACTCATGTAAAGGCAAAGATCTTCTATAAGAAGCATCTAGATTTTTATGCCAAACTCATGTTTTTGGGGGGTTTTATTATTTATTACAAGTGCTTTCAAAATATCCTCTTTCTAGTGCTCTGAAAAAACATTAAATAATATCATTAACTCCTCAAGGAAGACAAATCTTTTTACATAATGGAAAACTAGGCCAAAACCATTTAAACTCCTGACAAAAGTTAAAGAAACAAGTGTCAGAAATATTTCATCAAGAATGTTTCTTTTAATCAAGAAACAATTCCTTGCCCAAATTTTTACTTTCTTGAACAAAATAATCATTAGTAAACATGATCATTGCTAAACAACAGCAGAGAATTAAGAGGCTAGAAGTTGGCCGGACATAAATATCAACAGACTAAGAACACAGAAGACTTGCTAATCTGGGTTTGCTGTGATCTTCAGAAAGTCATTAGGAAGTATTTGGTATACACAAAATACATACAAGTTAATCACTATGAAGCAGCATAAATCAAGTTTCTGTGGCTTCATTTTTTTTTCTTAATTTTCATTTTCCATTGTCCTATATAAAAATTTGTAAAATATGAGCAACAGTATTAATTCACTCATAGAAATGTTGGAACTAACTGATGCCTTAAATATTGCAGAGTCCCATGGTAAAAAGGTCACACAGCACAGCAGAATTCTGACAGCTTGAAAAAAAATAAAGATCAAGAAACAGTGCTTCTGGCCTAAACAGCTTTTAAAGAGACTAAGTTCCAAACAATCTGTCTAATCAGCCATCCAACTGACTTCATTCTTCCAACAGGAAAGAAAAGCAGAGCTGCCTGCTCACCACTACATCCCACACATGTCAGTGAAAAGGCCAAAGCAGAGCTCCGGCTCCCTCCCAAGGGTCCCAGCCCAGCCAGGAGCAATTTCTGCCTGTAGAAACCAATAGATGACAGAGGCTTCCCTAGTGACACCCTATCACTGTATTCTTCTCTTGCACAGGGCCACCTGAGGCACTAACAAGGTTATTAACAATATTAAAATTAATCAGGGTAAGTCAAATGTGTATTGAGGAAAGGGAGCAAAGGTGAAATTATGAGAGCTAAGGGATTTTTCTGAGCACTTGACAAACAAAATAGGAAAATCAACCATAAAAAAACTCATTCTATCCAGGTTTGTGTATTTTACTGTTCAATAATACCACACCTTTGTGTTCACCAAAGAAAGGTAAGCAGCAATAAATTCTCAATCTTGTATCTCAAAGATATGTTTTTAATACCAAGTGCTTTAAAAATGTTAATAAAAATGTCTCAAACACAGGAATAATCTTATTTATTATTTGCATAGATAGTAAAAACAGAATCTCTTCTGTGCCACCCACAATTATCTCATAGCCACTTAAGTTCTATTGATCATCACTTTGTGCTCAAGATGACTGTGTCAACTGAGATGTCAGAGGGCATATAAACATTTCCATTTAAGTGGGAAAAAACTACTCTTAATTCTGAGTTCATACTGCAACTTGTCCAATTTTTTTTTCTTACTTGAGTCTTCAGGAATGCCATATTTTGCCATATTTTCCTCCAAAAGTCCCATTATTCTGGGCATGTCTGTGAACAGGTTTGCATTGCTGAAAAATGAAGATTCTTCTTTACATACTGCTTTGATTACAGATTCCAGGGATCCAACAGCTGAACTTCTGAACTGCCCACCCTGCAAAAACTAGAACAAATGAACAAAAATACAGATGAATCAAAGTTGCTTTAAGTAGCTTCAGGGAGTAGCCCTGGTGTTCTGTCAATATTGATGTCTAAGGAGATTGACAAAATGAGCCTATTAGGATGAGGGCCTGCTGTGTTCATTTCTATTCTTCTGATCACCATTATTATGGGGAAAGGTAATGTAGTTTTAATTGTCAGGATACTCAATGAAAGCATAATGTACCAAACTGAAACTAGAAAAATACTGTGTAGGAGTTAGGCAGGAAAGGACTAAAAATATCAAGACAACTGGATAACAGGTACCCTGATTCCAATGCCAGTTTTCATGAAACATGCTCTTCTGGTAGATTATTCCTGTGTCACAAAGGCAGCAGAAACAACCAAAGCCATTTTGTTGTGAACACTTACAGTGAATACAGTTGCTAATAAGGAAAAAAAAAAAAAAGTCAGATGCCCTAAAAGCCTATTTTTCAAGTAGATCTTTTAACTTGTTAGATGTGCTTACAGTTTTTGCACATCTTGAGTCACAGCAGCATTTATTGCCATTTGTTCCTGACTAGTATACTTCTAATGAGGAGAAAGAGCAATCTGACTGCTTTTATGGCTTAAGCACCATCATTCACCACACTCAAAAAGGAAGAAGAACAACAATAGTCTCATCCTCTGTGCAGCTCCACTTTTCAAATAATGGGCTTCGATTGTAAGTGATATCTCATGGAAGGCTGTACAGGTGCACAGCTCTAAGAGGACACAACTGCAAGGCATCTTGCTGCTGTGGTGCAAATGAAGAGTGCACTGGCTCGCCTGATACTCATTACTGTAGCAGATGCTTGTCAAGAAAGGCATAACTAGACTATCAGACATCATTTGAAGACTCCACAACTGGCAAGTAGAGAAAACCACTGTGATATGACAAACACACACATTCAGCACAAGAAAAAAATTAGCATTTTATTGCTGGAATTTTTTTTAAACAGAAGAGTCAATTTTCAAAGTAACATAGCACTTTACATAAAGATATAATCACAGACAGTTTGGAAATTGCGCTGTTAGAAACAGTTTATCCTGATCAATGCATTTATTGAAGTGCCAGGTGCTTCTCTGGTAATTCTAGAGGAATATTAGTAAGTGTTGTTTAAAACTCACTGTTAGCTGCTCCTAAAATCTTACTTTTAGCATACAGTTTCAGCACAGAGAAAAGTAAATAAGTAATACTCATATTTCATAATAAAATCATCCACAGCCCTTGAATGAATCTGCTGGCATGGACTTCACTGGAGAAATAAACTTTATTTATGCACAATGCTGTATAAAATTGGTTATGAATCTTTATCAGTGACTATTTGCACTAGAGGGATAAATGAGGCCTATTTCAGTCAAAGAGCACAAATGTGCTAATTAATTCTAGTTCCAATCAAAATAATTTGAAATTGAAATAATGAATATTTATGCAGTAAGCTGCCACTAACAGGCTGAATCTACTTACTGTCTTTCAACTAAATATCCAGACTCAAAAAGATATGTTTCTTAAAATTTGGCTTTGATAAAGTATGAGGAATATATAGTATAGCTCTCACCAAATAGAAAAAGAGTTATCTTTGATCTAGTTTAAACTCTATAAAGTAGGGCTGTAATCAAGACTGATGAATCCAAACAACTGCCTCCTACAAACTAATCAGTTAAGCAAGTCACTGTAGCAAAGTCATGGAAGAGGAAAGCTGGTATGGAAGATTAAAAGGTTGCCTGGAGCTGGATTTTCAAATGGAGGCAAAAACCTCATAGCATAGGAACTTCTGACCTAGCAGAACAGCTGCATGCCAAGAAATGTTACAAATAAAAAGAAATTCACACGGTATTTACAAGTTATTCATAAAAAGAGACCTAAAAGTCATACTGGGCTACAGCTTGCACATAAATCTAAAATACATTCTGAATCATTAGAGAGAGAGAGAGAGAGAGAGAAAGAGAGAGAGAGAGAGAAAGAGAGAGAGGAAAGGAGAGAAAGAATAATACATTTTTCTTGGAAAACTACAAGGAACTTAAACATAATTCAAAATTTGATGAAACTAAAGGGCCAAAGGAAATAAATTCAGAGAAATAGATAATCCTAATTCTTGGGAAAAAACCAAAAATGCAACAAAGTCTTTTTTTATCCTGAAATTGACGGAATCAGGAGAATAATAGCAAAATTGCTGATTTGATTAAACAATATTCAGAAGCCTATCAAATTTAGATGGCGCTATTTAAAAAGTAGAAAAATCACGTATACTCAAGAATGAGAAGTGTAATGATCCAGGAAATAATGGATATCTGGTTCTGATGTTTATTAAAGCATTGTATTTCATACAATGAAATTTAAAGGGAGAACATTAAAGACAAAAAATATTTGAGAAGTAAAATTTAATGCATTCTCAAGTTATCATGCCTGACCAACACAACATATTTATGTGGGAGGGCAATTCTTTTCTTCACAAAATGTTACAAGCTGACTCAAGTTTAGGTGAACTCTAGCAACCAATTAATGTTCATGCTCCAGAAACTATTAATCATCAATTAACCTAACTGCTGATTAATAGTGGTGAAAAAAATGGCATTAAGACAATATTGCAAGGAGCTTTTTAACAGGAAAAAAAAGAACAAGATTACAAAGAAGTTATTAGTGTTTTTTCTGTGAGCCCTGAAAGAAGCAAATCGCCTAAATTTGCCTATCATTTAATACTGGAAGGCATTGCAGGAGAAAAGAATATGAGAATGCAATATGGCAAAAAACCAAATGCCTAATTCAAAGCAAATTGAATAGAAAGATCACCAGTGCAAAATCTTATTTTTCAACTGAAATCATGAGATGTTGCTATAAAATGGAGGTCACCTCAGTATATTACTCATCCTTAATCATCTAAGAGACAAAACTCTGTGCAATTTATGAAAAAGTTGAATGCAAGTTAAGGAAAGTCATTTTAGTAGGTATAGACAAGATTGAGCAGGCTACAAGAGTCATCAGTTGTAATTCCCCTCAAACACTACAGACATTTCTTCTTCCAGACATTCAGGATTAGCCTTAAACCAGCATTCCATAACCATGCAAGGCTTTCTTAAGCAACTGAGAGCCTGTTAAAAACAGCTGCTAAAATAGGTCACTTCAACCTACCAAAACAGAGAAGGACTCCGACTGGCCTTCCACACATATATGGGCAAGCCAGAGAAGTTAAAAATGCTACAGAACATTTTTGATACAGGAATAAACATAGTAGCCATAAATAAACCTAAGTCAGAATTTATTTATTTAAAACTCCAACAGGTTGTTCTATAATGATAGGTTCAAGAGAGAATTTGTTCAAGTTAGGGGAAGGATTACAGAGTGAGGCCACCTCTCACAATTAACAGCATTTAGCAACTCAGGAAGTCCCCTGCAGCTTATCTATTGAGGAGTGACAAGCATCCAAAAAATTAAGTATGAAAATCTAAGTGAATAATTTCAAACAGCAAAACACAAGCAAAAATCATTATTGAAATCAGCAGTGTTCTTCTTCAGGGAGTTATCCATTCAGTCAGTGTTTTTAACAGTAGAATCTGGCACCATATTCCAGTTAATGCTGATAGGTAGATAATTAGTTTTTACATCATTTTTCATTACAATACATGTACCTTTTCAATTCAACTTCACATTTTACAGATACATTAAAGTTATTTCTTCCTTTCCAGTTTTTCTTTCAGACAGAAATCCATGTTGATTAGCATGCATAGCTGACAATTACTTTACTACCTCTTTCATTATAGAGGTTTGGTTTTATTTAATTACCTTCAATGTCTTTCTGACAAAGGTCCACACATTTTACCCTAAAAACATTTACATTCTTTATCTGATAATCTTTCAATGTCACTGAACTACTTTGCTCTTGGTAATCACGAAAACAAAAATCCACAAGTATAGGCTCTTTTGGAAATAGAAGAAAACATTTAAGGAGGGATGTGTATAAGCAATATATGCAATTCAGTGGAGCATTTATTCAATAGTACAAGTTTGGCAACCATAAAAAGCAAAAAAAATCAATAATTAAAACTTATTGGAAGTAAAAAAAAATCAAGTTAAACAAAAAATAAAAGACACAATTTACTAATCTTCAAAATTTAAAAAAGTTGCAGACGCAGAAGGACAGAAGAGCCCTTGAAATCAAAAATGTAACTTATTAATAAAATAAATAGACACTGATTATTTTAATCTTCCACAAATTATTAGGTGACCAATAAGCCCCAGCAATTTCACAAGACAAGGGATTTAGCAAAACATTAGAAAATAAAGATTGTGTGGAAAAAATTGATCAAAAAAAGTTAAAAATAAAAAAGAACAAAAATTACAACATTAAATCTATGGTATATTATGGGATAATAGAGGTGGCCGTCAAGCAAAGCTTAAAACTGTGAGCAGATGGCCCTCTGCTGTTCCATTTGTTCCTTTGCAAACTTTTTTTTAATAGCAGCTTTTGAAAGGTTCTTCTAGCAAATAAGGAACTTTGGGATTTTAGTCCAAAAAGAATATTTCATTTGCTGGAAGGAAAGTCTGATACAAACTGAGCTAGTTTAAGGAAAGCAGAAAAAATGCAAGTGTTTGATGAAAGTAACCATTAATTGCAGCAGCCAAAGAGCTACCCCACAAAGAGAGGCTCTGACTGATAGATGCACCAGAACAGCATTTTTCAACATGTCTCTATCACACAGATTAGAAGATCTTGAAAAATGTATCACTAAGGAAAATAGTACTTAGGGCAGTGTTTACTCTGTACTCTAGCAATAAACCAGATTGCACCATCTATCACTGTGAGATCTTTCAGAGGTTTGAAATTTTAAACCAGATTCAATCCTCAGATTTCCACAAAGGACAACAAACCCAAAAGGTAATGCCATGGGGGTCAGCAAGTCTTTCTATGGAATTGGAACATGCTTAGAGACAGAAATCTTTCTGGTGATTCATTTAACACTAGATCCACCGCTGTGTTAGCTGTGTAGATGTGCATAGAGCAACTGCCCTTACAGGCAGAGACAAAAGAAATACCCTCAATCACATCTCATGCCACTTATTTTACATCAAGCAGAACTAATCACACAAACCCCTCAGGTGACACAAACAGAAACATCTGGAAGATAGAAGAACTGCATAGGCTGTCTTGAACTCATATTCTTTAAAAATGCTATTTCTTGTAAAAAAAATAATGGTCTGCTTTTAAAAACAAAAGAGAAAAAAAACACTCTCAGCAGAAAACGCCTGGCTAGCTGTCTCCAAATCACAGATGATAGATAATGCTAGTCAGCTGACAAACACTGAGATAACTTAGACTAGAATCTCATAAGTTAACAAAAAAAGAGATGACAGAAACAACACAACACTAATCTCAGAATTACCAGACTGCTTGAAAGAGATCAAATAAATTTTCCTAGGGTTTATGGACTCTTCTCAGCATTCCCTACTTTCTAGGAAATAATTTCTAATAGTGTGCTTCCTTACTAAGCACATATCCCTACCTAATCACCTCACAAGGGGAATTAATTTTGCATATGGAAATCCTACACATACCTGCTGCAATGCAGAGATGTCAAGCACACCAATACTTTGAATTCCTTGGAGGAACACTGGAAGCTTTTCCATGACATGTTGGACTTTATTGAGAAGTGAACTGATACTAGAAACCACATCCAGTAGCATATTTAATACATTGCCTATCTCAGGTGGTATCTGGACCTTGGAACAGAAGGAAAAAAAAAACACAACAGAAAATTCCAGTTAGAAACAAATGTTAACCTTTCAATGAACACTCAAAATTATTCAATCTTTTTCCAAAACTGATTATACAATATTCCTACAAACCATGCTTAACAAAATTCCTTTTGATATAACTCTCCAGTTACTCTCAGATGAAGCTGAAGTTAGGTTTGCTGTAATGTAGTATTAGATCTGGCTCATCACAAAACAGAAATTAATATTCAGAGAACATGTTTACACCTGCCAAGTTGAAGAGAGCTTTCCAACCCAAGATGCTAATGGGATCTGCAACATTCTATCCTTTTAGAATTCAGTGTAAATAGAAACTTTTCCTTCCTACCATTTTAAAAATGTTCAGTGCAATAATTCCATATTTTAAAAATAATTTGTAAGTTAAATTAAATCTAGAAATCACTTTTATTGCTTAATATGACCCCTAAAGTAACTAACTTTCCTGCCACACTCTTCCTGTCTTTGAATTTTTCATGCCCAAAATAATTGTGTGCATTTTATTACCTACTTGACCTAAGTTCAATTGGCTGTTTGCTATTTCCACCATGCAAATTTGTCATTATAGATTTTCTCTCTGTTTCCTTTGTTTCTGGGGATTAGTTAGATGATATGATAATACAAACTGATTCACTGTTACCTCTCTATGCAAAATAATGAAACCACTATAATCTCATTAGACAGTTTCACTGGTTCCTCTGATTATCTACTTTATCCACATTTGTCTTTCTACTATAATGTCTGTGCTTAATTTTCTTCTCAGCTTTACATAGTTTAAAAAATTGAAAGACACTCATAAAAAAATTATTTTGCCAAAAAAGTATTATATTTTTTATCCATTATAATTTAGGTTGAGCTGGCAACATTTTTTATTCTTTGCTAGGATTTGATTAGGTTTCTGTAGAGTTCAGTAGAAGCACTCATCAGAATAAGCACTGGTTTATTTTCTTCTATTTTTTTCCCCATCTAGGTTTGCAGATAATTCAGGAAGTAAAATCTTTTCTTTCCCCTCTGGTATCTTTACCTACAGTGGGAAATTATCTTGTTTTTAAAATTCTATATCTAATCTGCTTAACTGAGCATGCAGCATCGAGAGCACAACCTGAAACATCCAGAAGAAAACCAAACCTCTGTGGCTTTAGAACAAACCATTCTTCCTCACAATGTTGTAAGGATATTTCAGCTATTCATGCTCACATTCTATGTTCTGTCAATTACCCCCAAAAGAACTGAACTAAATGTCTTCCAACTATCCCATTCAATAATTCTGTGCTTACAGATAAAACCATTATCTCACTGAATACCCACACTAGATTCCAGATTATCTACAGTTGTACAGATAATACAGTTGTGCTATAGACATTTGCATCCACAGTACTATGAACCCTTCCTAAAAATAGTTTTGTCATTCTTGTGATGTGAGCACCTGTGCTGGTTTTAGTTCAAATATTGTCAGACCAGTCTTCCACTCTTACAAATAATGAAGTGACTAATTGCATGAACTGCAAACTCTGCTAAAGATTATTAAAAATATGTCTTTGACCTCCTGTGTTTTCTGCAAAGCTTTTGTAATTAGCTCCTCGGTGACAATTTTCCTGAGGAAGCATTTATTAGCCCTATTTTTCAACTGTTATATTTTGGGGAGCCAAAGAAAGACAAAAAAATGCCATATGTCCTCTATTTGCTTTCATCTGAAGAAAAAAAGTAATTATTAATCTATCTACCTATATGTTTCATACCACCTTCCAATAAATCATCTTACCTTGTAAATGATGTGGCGTACATTCAAATTTTGTATAATCAATACAAACATGTTATACAAGTCCACTGCTGGTAAAGAGCATAATTCTTCCACTACCAGGGAAGTTCTATTGTCTTCAGGGAGCTTTAGCAGCAGGCTAAGTACTTCTTCATCACATCTTCCAGTTAAAGCTACCACAAAGGCACTGTAAAGAACCTACCACAATATATGTGCATTAAAAATTTTTCTCCCTGAAATGCATCACCATTTTTTATAGTCAATAAGGTGAAAATTTGTGTCACAGTAACATGACAATTTGCAGGCACCAACAGACCTGAAATAATAAACCATACAACTTTATATCAGATGGCTATGTTCTTACTTTGTACTCCTTGTACATATAAAAAGATTAAGTATATTTCTTATAAGGATTTGCTTTCATTTTTCACAGGTCAATCATTCATTCTTGAACATTCATACCATAAGCAGGCATATTTACAATGCTGAGCATACTCCTAGCAGATATACACCTCTGCTGCAGAAACACATGAAGATCAAAATCTAGGTGTGTGAATCACTAACATCAAACAATATGGTCCTTCCTTCTTTCAAAGGACACACAAATTTACCACTTGGGGATGCCTATATGGCAGAATGTCTACTCCGAGCCAGCTCACATTTCTCAGTTAAACACTGTTTTAAAGTATTCTTTAATAGCAGATGAAGGGACAAATGTCTAAGCAGACCCTGGGTGAGGCTATAATAAAACATTCTTGGATAATGGCAAGTGCTTGAAGTCCAGATAACTCAGGAGCTCTTAGCTACCCATTCTCAACAAGTCCAGAAAAAATAAAAGATTTTTAGGAGCCGTAGGAGCCAAAGAACAGGGCTCCATTGTACTGCTTAGGACAAAATCTGCCTCTACTGCCTCCACTGAATGCATCTCTTGCTGCTAACAGTACCCAATCAAGGAGAGGATCGGCAAGACAGTCAGGATATGCAATATAACTCTTTAATTCCTACAAACACTTTATTTTCTAACTTAATTATTTGATTTTTTGATTTTTATTCTGGAACAGAATTTTGCCTTTGTGATTCTACAAGGTTTTCTACGTATTTAAAGATTCACTTTTTTGTGTGTGCATTCAAGGAACAGAACATCAACATAATTCTGCAAGCAGCATAAGATGATACTGATTTGGATTTCTTGCTGGGGAGGAAATTTGACTGTGATGCAATTTGATATTTATTTCAAATGTCCCTCACAGGTATATCACCATTTCAGTGCAGTTTTAACACATTCTATGTTTTATCCCCTAGGTTAATTTCCTCTGAACTTTCCTTGCAGCTTTCTGAGAACCAGAGCTAATCCAAACTCCTACACTCAGTAAATGAATGCTTATAGTCTTCAGATTACAGGTTTTAAGTGATTTCAAATCACTTTATCCCATGGCAATGAGCATGGCCAGCACATAACATCGTGGCAGAAATTATGGGTAAGTACAATAAGAACAAAAAATTCCCAGGGTTACTCTTACTGTTCCAGAAGAAAGCACAGTAGTAGTATCTAATCACAGAAATATAGGGCTACAATGGGCCTATAGCTATCATTAGGTAATCAGATAGTGGCTTTATAGACAATAAACATAATGGGCATGCTTAAAATATAGCTCTAGAAAGTACTTGTGTAGTTTTTATAATCAGTAAGAGACACAGCCCTTTAATGCTCCAGTTGGACTGGGGGAGGATTTAAGCACTAAGCAAACAAAAAATTCTGTATCATTATGCAAATGTGAGACGTGTATATATCTAAGCTCTGCATAAGACTGGCAAAAAGTAATGATGGAAAGTAATTTGACAATTCAGCCAATTAGCATTATTATTCCAAAGGACCAAAGGTGCACTGAATCCCTTTCAGATGATTTCTCTCATTACCATTTAGTGATATCACAGTAACAAGCTAACAATAAAGGCAGTCACACTGCCACAGAAGCAGAAGAACAAATCATCTGTAAGTAGTTATGAGGTCTGAACTGCCTTTTTAATGCTGCACTTTTCAGGAACAGAGCTTGCGGCGGTTTCTGCAAGCAGAGCATCACTGACACCCAGTGGCTGCTTGGCCGAGCTGATCAATTTGCACCAAATGTACCCCCAGCTCTTCAACAGACACTCACAGGAGAGGGAACGTGTTAGACAGCTGGCATTTCTCATGATTTCGACTGATCTCTGGGATCACAGGAAAAAGCAATGGTAACACACAGCTCTTCCCTCAGAAAACTTACTCAAAAGTCAACACTTCAAAGTGAAAGTAAAGCAGGACAGTGGTAAGATAATGCAAGAATGGTGAGGAGCACTTAAGGTAAGTTAAAAAATATATACATAAGACAACTCCATACCACAAGGAGCAGAGGTGGTAAGGTGCAAAATGGTATCTCCAGAAACCCTCATCTTTTTTACAATACCATGACAGCAAAGCTCCAATTCTGTGTCAGCACAAGAGGGTAAAACATTGCTGAAAGTAATGAAGCAATGCCATTTAGACCAGAGGAATAATGCTACTATAAATTGATCTCTTAATGCATCACATTATTACTTTAAAGTCCTAAAACTCCCAAAGTACTTCATGTGAAAGCGATAAGTGAAAAGATAAGATTCCACAGAAACAATGTAGCTTGTTTTGCTTCAGCTGGCACACCATGCTATAGATTGACCCTCTAATTTGACACCTCTTTTTGATGTTTTACCTCTGAATGAGAGACACCGGCTTCCAAAAGGGTATTGACAGTTTCTTCAGAAATATTGACAGAAGAACCAATGTCCAGCCTCAACTGAGTAATATTCTTCACAAAATCTTTGACTTTCACATCTGGAAGAGAAAGAAAATAGTACCAACAGCACCAAATTTATTAATTAGATTTCCTACAGGTTGTATCCTTTCCATTCAATTCACTATGAGTGACAAAATTGCCTTATGTCAAATGTGTAGTAATAAACAGTGTCCCTTTGAAGTTGAAAGAACAAAGAAACAGTTATTGTCCTACAAAATTACACTAGAGTGACTTATAGAAAAAATGAAGAAAACTGGCACCTACCATTCACAAGATTAAAATTGCTGAGGAAAGCTGCCGCTGGATTTTCTGACAATTGTAGCTCCAAATTTTCTGTCACCCTGGAAAGACAGCCTTAGTTTCACAAGTTAGCAGAGCCAAATCATTGGCATTTCGATGCACGAGGACAAACATGAAGAGTGAAACAGGACTTAAAGAGGCAATAGGGTCCCACTGTGCTCTGTGTGCATGTGCTGTGCATGCAGTCAGCACCTCTACAGACCTTCTCATGTTGTACTTACATGCTGCAGGGGTCATCATATTTCATGCCTAAATGAGACTGCATACGTAGAGATACACATGTGTAGCTCTACATATGTAGAGACAGATTCCCATAATGACTAAGGGCCCGAGCAAACAGTAGCTTATAGAGAAGGACAGGTCTAGCAACATCTCACTTCCATGTTTCTCACTGAACACACATTTTTAAAACTTAGAGATCCAAATCACAGTTCAGGGTGAAAAAAAATGTCTATCTAATTTAAGTAGTAAAGAGTATGCATACATTAGATATTATTTTCTCTTTAAAACTGGGCATAAGCCTGTGCTATTTAGGAGCAGCATTTAGTCTCAAGCTCTTCTGTATTACTGTGATTCACAGACACCACTCAAGCCTGTTGTGAAAAAAATCCAACAGTCAAACCAGTATAGCAACAGTTATAACAATGTCTACTTCTAGCTGATTACAAATTTGAAACACTCTGTAGTGCCAGTTTTACTTAAAATCTAATGGCTTTCCCCATGCAAATAACTATCAGAAGTTGTTTGGACTTCAATCCCATCAGTTTACAATCACTATACTGTGTTTCTAATTCTTTGAACTCCTGAACTGATCTAAGTGCTTAATATTTCACAAAAATATATGCACCTATTGAGAGGAAAAGCCATATCAAAAGAGCTATAAATAAAAAATTTGGATATCAAAATTTTGACCTAACTTTACCTAACTTGAGTCACAGGAAATTGAAAATTTTCTTAGTTATGATCCAAAGCATTCGCTGGTGGAGCAGTAGAATCTGCTGCAAGTGCTTGGCAACAAATGGAAGAGTTTTTAGAAATATTGTTATTCTAAATTACTTAGATAATTTGTATCTTTTATCCACTCAGTTTTAAGTTAAATGAACAAAGCTTAAAAAGATAGTATCTCTCCTGTAATCACTTAGTTTAGAACACAGACATATGCACAGAATAAAATCACTAATGATGAGAAACCATTTGAGGTACCAAAATGTGAAAGGCTTTACATTTGCAGTCGTCTCTGGATGTTCCCCAACATTAGCTGGCATTCACAGCTGTTCCTGCTGGTATTCTGCAAGACTCCCACAAAGCTCTCCAAAGCATTGGAAAGTTTTTGGTTAATATATGCCATACTCTCACAATCTCCCTTTTTGAAAGCTGTCAAGTATCTTCCAACATCCTGCAGAACACAGTAATCACAAGATTAGTAAATTCATGAAATTGTGTTATAGATAGAACTAGCAGCTCTCAGCAACCAGATGATTTGTAGCTTCAAATGAGAATTTGGGTAAGACAATATTCTCTTACTCATTGTATGATTAACTGAAACTAGAATAAATATTTTCAAGAAGCAAGAAATTTTCAAATATTTGAGTTTTGGAAACAATTGGTTTGGGAATTTGAACAAGCCTGTCAAGGAGAGTCATCCACTAGAAATGCCAATCTTTTAAAATTTATTTCAAAATTAAATGGCTGTTCTTTTTCCTTTTTTTTTTTTTTTTTTTAGTCTGACCATTTTTATCCTTTTCCAAAAAAAACTTGTTTTGAACATCAGTTTTGATTAAACAAACCAAAATATCTGGATCCTCATTTCCAAAGTTCTTCATGCATTATGCTCTGTATAGTATGCACTTCTATATTTTCTCCTGAATATTTACAGATTTGATTTTGAGAAGCTTTTTTAATATTTGCAGAAGTAGGTCACAGAACAGTGGTGACCACACAAACACATTTGGTCTGCAAAAGTCTGCTTTGAGATATAAGTGATGCAACTTGTCATCTATTTACTTGAACACATTGCTGTTCATATCAGAAAAATGTCCAGCTAGACAAAGCAGCAGAGCTATTTAATAAAGAGAAGACAGATTCTGTATTAAAAAGCATGACTTTAGTATTTTGTCTGTGTCCAGCACACTTGTCTGTGTACACACATGTGTGCTATCCAAAGGCCTGCTTCCATCTCTGGGTGAGTCTCTTTATGCCAAATATTGCTCTCATCTGCTGGCAATTTCATGTTAAAGAAGAACAGACTGAACCCAACTGGTAATCACAACTGTTATTTTAGCTGGAATTACTCTAGCTAAGAAGTTTATTTGTTCCTCATTTAATTTCACAAATGTTCCTGGGAAGATTTAAAAGTATAAATGTACTGTAACTCATTAAATGACAGAATGACAGAATTTAAAGGAATTAAAAATGGGCCGCTGTTTGAAATTGATTAACAATCCAATTGTCCTAGTTATAGGACTTGTAATAAATCAAAGTCATACTTAAAGCTTGTAAATGTTTATTTAAGGAATTTCTTCTGGGTATCGCTATCAAAATTAACAGAGGTATACCTATTTAAACCTCAGGTTTGTATAACCACTGTGGGAACTTTTCATTTAGACAGAGGGGAAAAAAAAAGAAACTTTCATTAGTTTCCTAAGTTTAATGCATGTTGTAAAGTACACTTGTAGGTGAGGGAATCATTCAGACCTGATAACGATCTTGAACCACAGCAATCCCTTCAAAGACAGCGAGAAGAAAGTGACCCGTTAATCCATCTTTACACTTTGTAATGGCACAGAAAATGTTGCTAAAGACAATGGGTTCTTCTGTAAGAGAAAATGTCCAGATTTAATCAGATTTAAAAACTTACTTGAAATCAAATTTAAAGTTAGCCAACAAGTAAGGAAGAGAATTTTTTTTTTTGAAAGGAAGGAACATCTGATGTGTTAAGGCACAGAGAAATATTTCTAATTAAATTTATGTATCATTTCAGAGGACAAGAAAGGCTGGTTTGATTCAATTTCAGTTACTCTTCTCCATTACATTTTCCTGATCAGTAATAAGAGCACCCCTACCTGCTGCAGAACCAGAGAAGACCATTTCCTTTCTGCTCTTCATGAGCAAGAAGCTCATAAGTAAGAGCTCATAACTGTGAGAAGCTGAGTATATTAACCACATCTACCTTTTCCTCGGGCGAGCTCCCCTGATGCTGTTTCCCTCTAGGAACACCTGGGTGTTACTAACCCTCCAGTGAGCAGTAACTTTCAAACCCAAACTACAAGGGAAGCAAAACAGCATTACATAAGCATTTTCCCTATCTTAGGATAATGAACCCATATAGGGTGATAGCAGTATCCCCCTGGTCATCCATGGAGACTGTTTCTACCCAAGCTTGCAGCCACCATATCCTTGGGAAAAAACCTGCTTTCTGCTGTCTGCAATGGGTTTGTCCATGGGATAGTAGTGAAGGAATTTCAATCAACTGCTGAATTCTCATTCAGTACCAAGACAATTTTTTTAGCTATATTCTTTCCTTAAGTTTGTTTCTTAAGTCAAGTAGGAAGAATAGTAAACATTAAACACTGCTTCTAAAACAAGCAAACCTTGATCTTGCTCATAGCAATAATACAATACTATTCCTCAAATCAAACCAAAACAAACAGTTTTCATCTTTTCTCATTAGGTTTCATAATATTTTCTGTAACAAATGAAACATTATAAAGCATTCCCACAAACAGAGGATTGAAATGAGAATGACAGAAATTTAGTTTCCTAGTCTCAGTTCTCTCAATAAATAGACTGTTCTTCACAGGTCAGGGACAGAACACAGGTACCTGGATACACAATTCCAATATCACTTATCCTAGCTCAACATCACTACTGTTTTACTCTTTGGAACTACATCCATCACAGGAGAGTGGAGAAGACAGTCAAAACTGGATTATAATCACATTTTACACTCTTTTGCAAATTAACTTGGCATAAGACATTACAGATTTCATCCCTTGCCCTAGAAGGGCAGGTTAATGTCTTCTAATTGCTCTTTGCAAACAATTCTAGGCATAGTTGGCTAAAATATGAGCTTTGAAAAGCACTAGGTTTTGTTTCCCACAGAAAAAATAATATGAATTTATACTGAGGTCAATATCTATATTGCCTTTCTTAAAGTGCACAACTTGGGAGCATATACATAAGGAATAAAACAAGGTAACACATTAAAATTTGAACAATTTGTTGAAGGTGAAGTTTTTCAGCTACAGGTAGCCAATTCACTGGCATGACAAAACCAGAAGTGGGAGATCCTACTTCCTTTAACTCCTTGCCCCATTTTTCCTTACTGTCAAATATACACTGCCCTGTGGCAAGTCTGGCTCATTAAAAAAAAACCCCTGTGACCTGACTCGGCTCACTAGCTGAGGAGGAGCAGCAAGAGCTCCTGCTTTCCCTGGGATTTTAGGTCTATATTAATGCTCCAGAAAGAAACAATTCCTTTGTATGATCTGTATCAGATTTTTTCATGTGTTGGTTTAATTTCCAGGCATCAGTATGCTTGCTGTGCTTGGCATCACCCAAATTACCTTACTTGTACAAAAGCTTGGTTTTGTTAAGTTAAGGCTTAACTTAACAGTACTAACACATGGGTCCCAGAGTCACTACGGTGGTAACCAACCTGAAAAGATTTTGAGAATATTCAAAATGGTAAATTGCAATTTCTGCAATAGTACGACACTATCAGGGTATAAATGTTCCTGAAGAATGTTGCAGATTTTAGATGCTCTGTAGAAATATCAAAAAGAAAACATTATTTTCATTCCAAGGGTACCACAGAAAAATTTCAAGTGACAATGTATAAATATAGTCTTCAATGAACCACACAAGGATTTCAATATTAAATGTTATTACATTTGTTTGAACTATTTCAAAATCAGAATATAATACTTCCATGTTAAAAAAATATATCATAAGAGTGCTAGAAAATACCTTCACAAAATAAGCAAAATCATAATAGCTTCAGAAATACTGAGAGGCCACAGAATATGCTGACTTGATGGTAAAGAGCAGATAATCAGCATGAAGGGAAAATAAACCACTTTTCTAGTACTTGCTTTTGATATTTTTCAACAGATTAGGTTAATACTTGACCCTGATGGACAATGGTTTCATGTATTTACATAAAATTAATCATAAAGTTCAAAATACCACATCAAAGCATCAACTTTACAATGCCATTTCTCCGCTGGTTTATGTCAGTAGGACCAGGAGCTCCACCAGCAAGATACCCTAGAGCTGTTTGGAGCAACCAACTTGTGGCTCATTAAATTTTGTTTAAATGCAGCAACTCCAGTCTAGCAGCCTTTCTATTAAGTAAACCATCAGTAAAACTGAAGCAGTTTCCTCTGCTTCTGGATTACATATGATCTGAGTAATCAGGCAAATACGATTGTGAGCTCAAGATTCCTTCAGACACTGCATTTGTTAAACTGAACTACTTAACACAATAGCCATAAGATATCAACAAATTTAAGTTAAAGAAACTTCGTATGACTGTATTTGGATATAGAAAAAAACCTCCACACACACCACAAAGAACTAGGCTCAAGCCTCCTTCAACATTTAGCTCCAAAGGCAAAAATGACTGTTGCCTGCCGATTAATGGGGGTTCAGTATTCAAACCTGCATGGATTTTAAAACACAAGTATCTTCAAATAATTTTTCCGTAATAGTTCCAAAGAAACCAATTAAAGTATCAATGCATATGACTAAACACCTAACTTAAAATAAACACAATAATCTGGTCCACACAATACCAAATAGAGCTGGTCTTAACAACATAAATTGGAACAAATCTGAAATGAAACACTAAATAACTTAATAAAAGTTGTCATTGAGCTGCTCATAAACAGAGAGCCCTTCTGTCATTGCCAGCACACTTCCCAAAATGTGTACATGGAAAACACTTACCTCAGTTCTGCCATTACATCCTTATGCAAATTCATAAGTAAGAGTTTTATTTTATTCCTGTCATGTTCTGCAGTGGACTGAAATATTATTTGCAAAATCTCTTGCATGATCTCCAGAGTTCTGCTTTGGGACTGAGTAGAAGTGTCTCTATATGGTGCATTATAAAAAAATGAATCAATTAAGTCAACTTTATGAAGCTTAGAATTGTTTGCATGCAAAGGTTCTTCTACAACATCAAGGTCAGCAATTATATGAAGGAGGCTGTTTAGCAAAACTGAAAAAGCAGGGTGAGTATTATTCAATTTCTCTCTGCTAAAATGACTGTCACCGAACAACATACCAGTATAGTCCTTCTTAGACTTATTTTGGAATAGCTCCAGAAAGGCAATAATATCTTTGACAGCCAGCAGTAGGTCATTTGATGAACTTTCATTAGTCATAAGGAGAATTAGAATATGCATTATTTTAGAATAATTTTTATCGTTACACTCGCATAGAATGCTCTTCACAATGCCTTGTATATCTTCAAAATTTCTTGGTACAGCATCTACAGATGACGTCTTAAACTGCTCTAGTAAAACATCAGGAGCCATTGAAGAGGACTGTCCAGTGGCCAACTTTAATAATTGAAACTCTTGATCTATCACCACAAGTAAGTGTCTAACACTGAAATTCACCAATAAATTTTCTATGCTTGTAACAACAGGAAACAAGAAGTTCTCAAAGTTGTCAGTTATATTGATGTTCCCACTTAAAGCTGATATTGTCATAAGCACTGTGTGTGTCTGGTTTCCAACAGATGACAGCATCATCAAAGGCTGAATTACCGAAAGAAAAGAAAGGACAGCTTCAGTATTCAGGAGTCTGGAAACTTCACCAGTCATGTTCTTAACATTAGTAAGAACACTCTTAAGTGATGTTCTTGACTCTCTGTTCCAACTTCGGCCACCATAAAGATTGTTCAGCTGCTCAAGAAGTCTTTTGGCCATCTCCATTTCTGATACTGAAACACTGTCCAGAGTTTCTAAGATTCGTAAAGCCATTTGGCTCTTTGGTGTGGAGGAACAATTGATTGCATGTGTATTATTCACCTGCAGTGGCACAGCATAAAGGGATAGCTCATTCCAAAAATCTAGCAGCTCTTTGAGAACTGAGCTGTTTATATGATGGAGCTCAGAAAACTTCAAAATTATAGAGTTCCATTCCTTAATCTGATGAAAAAAGCAAGTCAGATTATGAATTATATCCACCTGAATGTCCTCCATAGAACAAGCAAAACTGTCATCCAGAGTGATGAGTTTAAGCTCCTTAATAATTTCAATGACTGCATTGTAATGAAGAGTAGAATTGGTGTGCACCAAGTCACAAGGTTTAACAGTGGTATCACTTTCAGGTGTTGCTGTTGTGAGAGTCCAGCAGAATGCTGCAGAAAAACAAGCGGAGGCCTCTCTGGGCTCATTGGAGATGTCTGACAATGCCTCCAGCAATATTAAAAGATCTTCAACTTGGTTAGAGAACTCCTCATCAGTAAACATTGGCATTTTTTCTTCCTGAGTCAGTATGAAAGCATATATTTCAGCTAGTGCTTCTGTAACATTTCCATGAGTCAATCTTTCTGTAAGGCTGATGACATCAAAGAGGAGGTTGAACACATCTTCTGTATTGTAGTGCTCATCGTGTTCAAAGAGCTGTGTTATTTGGTGTACATCAGTCAGGTTCCAGTAACATGATATGTTCTCAAATGCATCCCACCAGTCTGTTAAGGTACCTAACCCAGAGTTCTCAAGGTTAAAAGATTTGACATTTTTTAAGAAATTTTCTAGGGTCTCCTGGACCTGTTTGAATCTACTTATCAAAAACTCAACATCCAGGTTTCTCATGTTTTGCACCAAGGCAACCATAAGCTTTAGAAACTCCTTTTCATCTCTTAATGGAAAGACAACAAATGTAGGAGACTTGAAAACTTCAAGTGCCTTCCTTACCAGTTCAATATTCAGACCTGCTGTTTCTATCATTTTCTGAGGAAATGCTTTGTGTTCATCCTGCAAGTTTGAGTCAAGTTTTCTTATCATATATTGAAAGAACTCCATCAGCAAACTGATATTTTTCTCATGCAAGAAAGGTTCAGTCTCAGTGTCCAAATAAGAGGAGCTGTTTTCTTCGAATTCAAAAGTTTTATTTTTCAGAAGACTTTGGACTTCTGACAAGAGTTCCACTGATATAAGATAAATGTGGTGAAAAGGATTAAGGAGCATTCCTGAAGTCCTATTAAAACCATGGGTTGACTGACTAAAATGGGTCTTATTTGACATATACAATGAAGTTGCAACTAAATCACTGATAATGGCTTGTATTTGCTCTCCAGAATTATTTAAAAGTTTAAAAATAAATTCAAGCACATTAATGTCATGTTTCACATAAAGTTCAGGGAGAATAAATTTCAAAGTTTTTGCTATGATATTTAAATAAACACTTGCACAAATCATATCAGAACCACCTAGGGAACATTCAGGGAGTGTCAAATTAAAAACAAAATTAACAAAGTTCATCACATTCATTAGCTTAGCATCTGTCTCAGCATTTCCCAGAGATTGCAGAAGAAATAAAATATGTTTTGCACTTTCAAGGTGGGAAGGTGACTTGTATTTTTCAGTGAAATTACTTAATCCACATATCCATGTGTTACAACCATCTGCTTCATCCATTGTACTATGAAAGTTTAGAAAGGAGTTAAGATGAGACGAAAAAATTGTTTGCAAGTAGCTTATGTCTTTCAGACTATTACCCAAAATTATTTTGGTAATATTCTGGAAAATGCTGATACAAACTATATATTTATCTTGAGGTACACTTTTTAAAAAAGCAGATGTGTCATTTATCTCAGTAAGAATAATTTCAAGTTCCTCTTGGGAGAGCTTAAGAATAGTAGAAAGGGAATTTTCAATGGAAAATACATCAGCACCCTTATCTTCTCCCTCAGATCCTCCTGAGATGAAAGCATCAAGCCAAGAATTCAAAACCTCTTCATTAACAATCTTCAGTACAGATTTCTGCATTTTAGTTATCACAGCTCCTACTGTCTCTAAAACACTTTCTAAACTGCTATCTTTAAGCAAGTTTGTGACTTCAAATGCATTGTTAATTACCCTTTGAAGATTAACAAGGAAAGCCTCAAGATCTTTCAAGTCATTTGAATTGCCACGTTCCTGAAATACAGATTTTAAAATCTTCATTGCTGCTCCTGTAGCTTCAACAATAGCCATAGCTGTATTATTGCAGAGTTCATCTTGAGTTACATTTAAAAGGTTTTCAGAGAGATATGCCAAATCATCTCTCAGGCAGACAAACCAGGTTGAATTCAAATTTAAGATTTCCGATGCTTCTTCAAAAATCTCGGTCCACGCCTGAAGCCATGTAAAAGTGCAGTGCAAAGCAGAAGGCACACTTACCTTATCTCCCCAGTTTGTTACATCAGACAGGACACTGTCCAATGGAAGCAGAAGTAAGTTATAAACCTCTGCTGAATGTTCTTCTGAACTCATGTTTGCTAGATAGAAATCAGTGCACCCATTATTTACCAAGCATCCTGGAGGCAGATCAAGAAACTCTTCCAAATAACATAAGAGAGCTGTTTGGAGCTCTTCATCTATAAATAAAGTTTTAAGACTGCTCAGAGTGTCATAAACAACTTGTATATCTTGTTTTCCATTCTGTGCAAGAAACTGTGCCTGAAACTCTGTGTAATTGTAAATTAATAGTAATTTTTCACAGAGAGACTTACTGGTGAGGTTCCAGAGAAGATCAAAAGTTTCAAACAGAAAATCAAAAACTAGTTCCTTATTTTGCACATCATGCCATACTTGAGAAGATGACATACTTTTTGAAACCTCATAAAGAAGTTTTAACACAGTGTTATTGCTCTTAATATTTAAAACCAAGTCATCATTCTGGTACAGAGCGAGAATTTTTGGAACAAGTGAGGCCACAATAGTGCTGTTTAATTTTTGGATATTTCTGAGGAAATCATGCACAAGTTCTCCTAATTCTTGTACCTTATACATAAAAGTTGCATTAGAGAGAAATAAAGAGGAGGTATTACTCACTCCAGGAATTGTGCTAAATGAGACATTGACATGATCACCAGACAATGATTCACCTTCAAAGAATTTTTTTTGCAAGTGTCCACTAAAATGTTTTAAACGGTCCAAAGCAGTAATATTTAACTCTGGCCAATCAGTCAGGATCTTTTTGAGCAACACCATACTTCTATTATAGATTTTATTTTCTGTAATAGAAGATAAAATTCTAGATAAGGTCTCAATTGCCTCTTCCTCTTCTACTTGACTCAAGAGAGAAAGCCTAGAATCTAGTTCATGGAATACAATTTCCACTATATGCCAGAAAAGTTCTGTCTTCTTTTTTGTCCAGATGCTCTGAAGAGGCTGGAAATTTTTTTGTAGGTTATTATGGAGTTCAGAAACTGCAAGAGAAAAATTGGTGGCAGATTCCGCCCCCTCAGCAAAATTTTTTATCCATATAATTGCATTACTCAAAGCATTTTCAATTAGAGACTTGTTTGAAGAAACCAAGAAATCAAACATAATTTTTTCTATGACTTCTACAAGATGGAAAAGATGATCCATTTTCTTTTCACCAAAAATCCTTAAGTTTTCTTCTGTCTTCAAAAACTCTTTGAAAGACGTCAAAATCCTGAAAAATTAATTGTAATTTTTTTTCTTGTTAGTTACTTAGCAGGCAGAGAAGAATTTTTTAATTCTATATTATTTCAATTTTAGAATCTAGGTTTATTTACTTAATTCAGGGAAATTCCAAATATAATTTAAATAGCATCACAAATTAATCATCACAAAATCTGAATTAGCAAAACTCAACAATTACTTTTGGTTTCAAAAAATGTGAAAAAAACCCTACTGGAAAGTCACAACCTCATTCAAATCAAAACCTGACTGCAGACAGCAGTTAGAGAATTGTGCATTTATCAGTACTTATAATCAAGCTTGTAAGCCACAAAGAGTCCAACACCTTTCAGTACATCACATTTTCAGCTGCTGAAAAGAAGAGAGTTTATGTCCCACAGACTATTTTACAGACAGGAATGTATCAATAAAATCAATCAAAACCTCTAATTTTCTATGGATTCTAAATATTTTTTTTGTTTTCTCATAATTATTGAAAGCTAGAACATTCCAATTGACTGCTTGATAGCTGAACACTGCTATTTTAATATCTACAAAAACATGAAACTGGAATGCACCCACTGATGTTTCTATTGTGTCAGTATTATTTATCAAAATACAAAACAATTACTGGCTCTATAAGACTGGTCAAGAGGAGGAGGTCCATGGTAGAAAGAGCCTTTGAATGTAAAGGCCTCAAGTTGAAAATATATTCTCTTTAAATATATTTTCTTTCTCTCCAGACTCTGCAATCAACAGAGGTAGAGCACAAAAACATTGTGTACTGCAAACAAAAGGGTAAAACTGCTGCAAAAATACTTGGTTGTTGCTTACAACTGCAGCAGCACAGTAGTTTCCTTTTATAAATTAGAACCAAATTTCAAAACACCCTACTAAATTTTTGAACAATTTGACTGCAATATCTTTTTTACTAGTTGATAATGGTTTGTTTCTTTCAGATGTATCCTCAGATGTTGACTTGTATAACATGAATCATATCTCCTCCAGTTATAGTGTTTGATACGAACAAGTAAGTACAAGCAATGAGAAAATGAGGCCAATATTCTAACTCCTGGAAACTATGCAAGTCATCCAGTGTGCCATTAGAAAGAGGGAAGTATCCTGTGCTCTGCCATAGACATTTCTTGAACCTCTGCCAACTCTGACAAACATTAACTCCCTTTATGTACAGATTAACTCCTCTGTAGACCCTTCTAGAGCAGGAATATTTGAACAGCCTGACAAAACATCATTCTTAATAAGTACAGGGCTTACAGCCAAATCTTGACATAAAGTGTTTACATTTATATTAAGTCATGAACCAGAGAACTTGAAACTGTAAGGAAAGCTCAAAAGAAATCACAGAGTGCCCTAGATGAGATTGCAAACTACACATATACAACTAATTCCATATGTTTAAAATTCTGTTTTCCATAGGCTGTAGCTGTTGATGAAGGCTTCTGTTACAAGATCTCCTGCACAACTGAGCTGACCTCTGCAATAAAAATCCTAAATATTTCACATGCACTGGACTTGATATACATGAGAAGTATTACTGAGTCACACCAACTATTTGTGGGAATTCAAATTTGTTTGCAGAACAAGATAAAATTAATGTATTGGTTCAAAATGCCAATTATCCATAGCTGCTGATTCCTGGGAATCCTGATCATGTAGTAGTCATGTCCTCTGCTGAACTTGCAGGAAGCTATATTCTGAAACATTTCTTTTCCAGAATATGTAAGCATCAGCACAATTATTTGATTGTATACAGGCTTTTCAACTACAGAATAAAAAATTTAATCACAAAACCGACAAAAACACAAATCAATTAAATGCAAAGTAAAATGAATATTCAGGTTGATCTAATTTTATAAGACAAGTTTCAGAAAGATAAGTATGACTTACCAATCATGAGATGAAACATATCCTTCTGAAAAATATGCATCTGATTTCTCATTCCATGGCTGGATCAGGGTATTTATCTCTGAAAAAAGTTTCCTGCCTTCCCTGTCATCTAGAAATTGAGACATCAAATCAGCCATGATTCTTCTAAGTTCCAAAAGGAAATTCTGAGAGAGACTGCTGCTGTCAAGCCATTGCTCAAGTACCTAGTGGATTGAATGCAAAACAGAACATCTCATAAATCAAAGCTTTCTTACTTAGACGGTACACAGAATTTGCATGTCTTTTAAAAATTCACACAATAAACAACGATATCAAAATTTCTCCCTTACAACCTCTCTAGACTCTAAATGACTGACATGACAAAGGTTCATTTTCAATACAGTTTTGACTGACGTGGACATTGGCAAAGGAAAGGGCTACAGCACACAGACAACTGACATCCTATGTGGTGCTGACCTTCCTAAAGACCCAGGAATGGAAAAAAGATGGACTGAGGCTGAAATAAACCAAAAGCTGACCTCCACAGCTGATTACTCAGGCTTCTTTTACCAGACTTCTGCCTACACTGCCAGTGTGATGAAAGATAGTAGCTTTAATATTTTTGGAGTCCCATAACACAAAGATGATGAAGAAACCTGCATGGTCCCAATGTGTAGCCCATAAAAAAGCATAAAAAGGCCTGGCCAAAACTACTGACTGCTCTCCTTTCCTTCACCATTACCTTTCTTTTAAATGTCAAGTGAATATAATAGATTTACTCTAAGAGATATTCTGTTCACCAAGACAAGTCACAGTGGCCAGCAGTTCACAATATTTCTGGTTCCCATAATAAAGAACATCAACCTGTGCTAAGAGTTTTAAAATCATGACTGAAATTATTACTGGATTTTCCTACACAGAAATTAGTGCATTAGTTTTGGCAGTCACATTGAATTATTACCTCCTACTTCATCATACAGCAGGGAAACCTCAAAGATTACCTTTTTGAGGAAATACACAGGAAGCTCTACATGTTTTCTTTACATAATATTGCAAACATCTCTAGAGCAGCTTGACACATGATTCTTCTTTTTTTTAATGGAGAAAAATATGATGTTTCAGCATAAAAACAAATACCAGTGTTAAGGTAGCTAGGTGTTTTTCTTAGGAAACACCTGAATATTTAATTCTTTTGTCCATGCAACTGCACATACGTCATTACAGAGAATGCATGGCAAGCTGTTCTGCCAGATCAGAATTTTAAGATGCTCTGCTGGAGGTTTACTTTTGTCTTGCTTCATCCACCATTGCCAGAGACAGTGAGGGGAAAAAATAAATAAACATAATTATAGTCTAGTCAATTTTCAGTTTTGCTCAACATTCAGTCTCAGGTGGAACAGTAAACAGTTTCCTCTGACAAGTCTCTGCATTGCAGTATATTTCATGACATACCCTCTTACATTTCAAATCTGATTAAGTGGACACAGGATGATAGATTATACTGCCACTGTAATGATTCTTTATAAGGATTATTTCATTTTATTAGCAAGAAAGTTCATGAAAACAATTTTATAGATAACTTAGATCTTTTATCTGAGTTACTGCTGACGACCTACATGCAAAAACTAGGAATTCAAACTATTAATTTATTAAAGTTACCCGTGCATAGAGTTTGAACTTGCTGACAGCATGAACAAGATACAGTTTGGCCTCATGCTGTGGAGAATTACAGCCCTCTCCATTATTCTCTTTGTTTGCTTCATCTTCTGGGACAACAGCCAGAGCAGAGCACACAAACTGCTCCAGTGTCTCTCCTTTGGGAATCTGGCAAGGACACAAGAAATTGATGAGCATTTCAAGAGCAGCTGCTGAATGTTATCTCTCCTATCAACTTACTTATCTAGTGAAAATTAGAATAACACATAGCTTCTTCAGCAAGAACAAAGCCCATTTAACCCAGCCTCACATTCCTGGGCACATACTTCAAACTACTCCACTTGCAGGCTGCTATATAAAATACCAGTGCCCCATTAAGGTGCTCATACAGCAGGAAGAATGATGAAACTTGTACGCCCAAGGAACTTTCACCTTATAGCTACACTGGTGTTGTTACTTCTACAGTAATTTGCAGGCTGGCACCGAACTAACTTGACAATGATGCAGTACTCCTACAGTAGAATAACTATATTGAAACAACAATTACTGATATAAAAAGCACTTAGTACAATGATGCATCTCAACCAGTGATTGCATGCAACATAGTTTTAAATTGAGGTTGCTGGGTTTCAAGAGAGTGGCCAAGAGAAAAGATTTTTTTCCTCATAGACTAATTTTTAAATTCTGCGATGAATGATTTCATATTCCCAAGCCAATAAATATTATTAATGCTTACAAAAATAATGCACACATTTTAATTTTGTTCTTGCCTTTCTGAGACACTTTACATCCTTGCTCCTTTCAACTTTGACCAGATAATTCATAAAAAAGTTTTGCACGTGTTTTGACACCAAACAAAATGGGACATTACATACAGAATTGAAGTGTTCCAAACAAATATTATCCAGGCTTCCATATTTGCTTTCATAGTTTTTTATGGTCTTCAATGTTCTAACACAAGCACAAAATATTGAGATACTAGTTTAAATAGTTACCAAGTGAGTAGCCTGCGATTTCACAGACAACCACAGATACCAAGTTGCAGTTGAATGCAGTTCATTTGATCAAAAAGGCCATCACTGATATTTCATTAAAAGGCCATTCAAAAGTCAAGGAGTTTTTTTTTAATAATTTATCCATTTGTTTAAATCAGCTATTTTTACAATGAGCTCTTCTGGAGTATAAGTTTAAACTGTACTGCTCTGCAAAGAACAAACAGATCTTACATAAATATCAACATGCTCTATTAAAGAATTTGTGGACTTAAGCACAAATTCAAAAGATGTTTCCAGTTTTCTGCAGTCAAACCAGACCACCACAACAGACAACTTCTGTCTATAGGATAGGTTAGAATGCCCTATCTGAAGAAAGAGATTTTCTTCTAGATGTGATACCTCACTAGGATATTTGATTAAGCACCACTGAGAAAACTTAGTCTAGTACATTCATATCAAGATTGCACAACTGAGAAGAAAGGATTCTTGGTCTCCCTTAATTTACACACAGAAGAGACAGGCATTCTTTGTCCAGCAAATGAGATGAAGAATGCTGCCAGAGAAGCTAATCCTGTCAGGCTCAAATCAAGGATTTGGTTTAAAAGCTTAGTGGAGCAATCCTCAGAATTCTCTACAGGATTGGATAAAAAACTCATGACTCTGCCATATACAGTTGTGACTTCAGGGAAGTACAAATTCATAAGTGTATACAACCAGACCTATCAGTATCTTCAAGTGCAGAGATTCCAGCTAAAGCTAGACATTTATTTGATGGGAATGAAGCCAGGATAGTTAACAATCTTTTAGCTGCTTCACAAAGCTAAGCTTCCGTAATGCAGGAAAATACATTCAGGATACAAATGAAAAAAAAAAAATCAAAGAGATAGACACCAAAATTTTCAACTGATTTACCTCTGTTAATCGTGCTGTATAACTTAGTACCTTCTCAATATGAGGGCCATCAAAACCAAACCTGGATTCAAGTTCTGCTTTCACAGCAAGCGGATTCCACAAAACATCTCCAAAAGAAAGATTGTACTGAAAACCTGAAAGAAAGGAAATATTTTGTTTAGGTAATTAATTCTTTTTATTCATGTTGTTTCTTGGTGGTTCTCACTTGTTGAGGTCCAAGTACTGTGTTCCTAGCTTTTTTGGGCACAGCAGGACATGTGCACCTGAACACAAATTTACCTAGGCTGAAACCCATGATTGCACTAGTGCAAAGTCAGTTAAAGTGATGGCATTTTAGCAGTTGATATGATGATGGTGGGATGCCTCTGCATAGCAATTGCCAGCAAACTCAGTAGGGTGCCATTCTGAACTGTACAGAGGCATGCAAAGTTGTGTGTATGGACTGGATGTGAATCACTACTGAGAATGAGAGCAGCAGGAGAATACCAGAAGTTCCAGAGAAATCAAGTTCATCCTCTGTGCAAGGGCTCCAGCACATCACCTTTGTTCCACATCAGCCTTCACTTTTGCAGGTGAAGTGGGATTTAGGCTGCATATTACTCTTAGCCTGACCTTCCACACCAAGCAGACAGCTGCACCTGTACATTGTGTGCTTCAGTTTGCCCAGGAAACTTGCTCCTGACCTCTTCTTGTTTTCCTGGGGCCAGCCTACCTTCTCCAATTAAACTCATCTTCCACAGTGAAGCAGCAGATGGAGAAATGTAACCCTTCAGCTGACAGCAGAATTTATGAGAACAGAAGAATGAAGCTTAAAGTAAACCAGTCATAATGCTTAACATGCATGTCCAAAAAAAAAATTGCTCTCCTTCTATCAAATGGAAGAAACTGTCCCTTGCATTGATTTAGTCTCTCTCTAAAATTCGTTGCTAAACCATGACCATTCTAAACACTATGTATTACACCAGTTTATCTGATAGTTACCAGAGCCTGATAAAATTTTGTAATCAGTATTGGTATTTAAAAAGCAGATCAGTAAAGAAGTAGGTTAGCAGTACAGCCATACAGTTTAGTCTCTGCACATCAGGAACTTAGCAGAAGATCCAACAGTTACTATCATATATTTCAAGCATTCTTACTAGGTAGTTCAAAGAAAATCTGAAGCAAATTTCTTACCTTCTAAGCTCCTATCCTGTACTGATGCAGCAGTCAAATTCAGTGCCATTTTCACCATTTCATAGAAACTTTTGCCCAATGGCATCATAGCTAAATCCTTCAGTGATGCTAAGGTACTGAAAATGGAAAATAAAAATCAAGCACTCTATGCACCCAACAACCTGAAAGGACTTGCTGGAAAGAGACAACCTTCAAGTAACTGAATAATAAAACACTTTTTTTACTATTGAAAAACCAATCTTTTATGAAATTAGAGTTTAACTGAACAAAACACATATTGAGATTGTACAGTTAGAGTATCAGTCGATTTCCATTAAGGAAATGTGTCCTGTAAGGACCAATGGCCTCTTAAAATAAAGCAAATAAGGGTGAGGAAAAAGGGCAAAATAAGGGCAAAACTATCACAAATATTCTCTGTTATCCCCACAAGAAGGCAGGATCAACACAGAATACTTACATTTTACTTCCCATCAATCTGTGGGAAAAAAATATTTTAAAGCAACATAATACTCATTCTCACAGGAGGTTAAACAAAGTGCATTACAGAATGCATTGATAAAAATATATCTATTGAAATTCTAACAAGTCTCTGTCACTTTCGCTGTGAATAAAAATTCTCTGTTAATATAACTGTAACTTATTACTTAAAATTTATGTCAAATTTACCAGTTATTTCCGACCAAGTAATGTTTTCTTATTATGCAAATAAGAATCCAGTTTTCCAGAGTGGATCATCAGTCTCCAACATTCATGAAAAGAAGGGGGAAAAAAAAACCCAAACAAACAAACACAAAAAAAAGAAAAACCGACCCCTACCATAAAACCCCACAGCCGGTCACATAGATGTGAAAAGTTCTGTTAAGTACCTCTGAGAGACACAGCAAAATTTGGTATAGACCTAAAAGAGGGAAATGTAAATTCAGAACCTTCCTACTGGCTAAATTCTGCCTTAGAAAGGAGCACTAGTATGTAGTGTAGTAATATGAAACTAGACAAGAAACAAGCATTGGGCAAGAAACAAGTGGCTTGCTTTCCAAATTGCATTAATGAGGGTAAACTTGATCACTGAAGGGCACAGAAATCTTAAAAAACCCTAAGCAAATGAAAACACCAAAACCCGTGTGTAAACATCTGAGTCTCCTATGTACTTTCACACGTTAATAGCTCAGAGAACAAGCCGAAATAAGGCTACAAATTACTCAGGCATAAGGGAAAAATAAATAAATTTTAAAATTCAAGCACCAACATAGGTGCAATCCGCATATTGTAAGAGAAACTTTCTTCCCAGTTTGAAAAAAAGTTACATCATCATATCCTTCCTATCTGGGTCGGGAGCTGTTTTTGTTGTCCTTCTAGGTTTCGTTTTTGGGTTTTTTTTAATTTAAAAAAAGACATTGGGATGACAAGGGATGGCAGAACAGCACAGTAATTTCTCATTCATGATCTTTGAGCCCTTGCTTCCCCATGGCCTAAGGCTGCTGAGGTACATGGCCAGTCTAGCACAGGCACCCAGGGTCAGAGGGCTTCCCTTGCTTTGTGACTGTGTTATTGGACTACAGTGACAGTTGCCTATCAACCTACTGCAACAAACTGCCTACCCTGGAAAACACATATATGACTTTCACCTAACAATTACCTTATTTTGCTAAAAATTCCTGTATATATAGGTCTTGGTCTATGCTTTAATTCTATGTCTTCCTCTGGATCCAGCTGTCTTTTACCTGATTCAGAACATAGTCTCTGGGGTGTTTTTCTTACCTCTTCATTTCTTGCAGAAGAACACCTAAAGCTATTTAGAAATCAAGAGGCTTAACAAACAAAACTGAGTAATTTTCCTGATATGGACCAAGTGCTACATACATTCAGATCTGATTAGGATCAAAACTATTATTTTCTTATATTCATATGTCTATGTTCTGTCTTTCAAAGACCCCCAAAATACATTACAAAGTTCAAAGCCATATTATGTGATGGGATGATTCAGGCATTGCTAACATGGAGCTGCTTATCAAAGACACCTAGGGCATCTCTGTTGAGTTTGGCAGAGACGCAAAACACAGTTATAAAGGAATCAGTATGGGTGAAAATTCTTAACACAGTTTTATAAAAGCAAAATCAGGTAAAGAGAAGAAAATTTTAGCCTCTTTACACTGTAAAGGATGCTTATTTCATTAAGCAGACAGTGAGCAGACAGTGAGAAGAGGAAGAATTGCAGATAAAATTTTAAAACAGAGCACCTTCAAGACTGTGAAATTACTTACTTTTGAATAACTTTTAGAAACTGTGTTATGGTAGCTAACTCATCTTCTGTATAAAAGCTGTTCAGTTCAAGATGAGGGAGTGAATGCAGAAGGTTCCAGAAATATGGTTGCTTGTACAGATTTTCTGCTCTAGAAATAATTTTCTCTGCTTCATTCAAATCCATCTTAGGTGGAAAAAAATAAAAATTACATGCAACACTTCCAACAACAGAAGAAAAAAAATTTTAAAAAAATTATAAAAAATTTAAAAAGCAGGTACCTGTTATTTCCCTGACCCTCTTGAATTTTAAAGCATTCATAATATTTTTCTGAAGTGGAAACATACCTCTAGATTTGGCAATATACCACATTATTTTGGTGGTATTTTGAAGCTTTGTTTCTTATATGTCTCTCTGCTCCAATGGAAAAATGGAGCTGGCGGTAAAGCTACGGCATCTCTTTCTGCTCAGAGGTGTAACCGAGGGAAGGATAATTTTTGACCTCTCAAGCCGTGCAGTGAATTTCTAAGCCTAAGGTAAAAAGATCAGGGACTGCCCAGGCCTTGCCATCCTTGCCTCACAGCTCTTTGCAGGGCTTGTGGGGGTCTCAAATAACAACTCATAAGAATGGCTCTTTAAAGGTGAACAGCCTGGGATAAAACAACTTCCTTCACAGGACTACACAATATGATGCTTATGCAAAACAGCTTTTTATCACACTTTTTTATCATGCGGTCTTTGCTACTCTAAATTAATGTCTCACTAGGGCTTTTTTGTACAATGGTGACATAAGCACACCTACAAAAAGAAGTTTGTGTATATAGAAGCTTTGTTTCTAATAATGATTACCTACTGTCAACTTAATATTTTCTTAATGTTGAAAAATACATTATTTCTATTCTATATTGCATTCCAGAAATGAAATTTCATATTGATATGGCTCCTTTCAATCAATGAGATCTTATGAGCAATTTAAAAATGTTATCTAATTTCAAGTTATTAACTGGAAATCTAAGTTTCATGAAGTAGCAGCAACAATCAATCAAATATGGAAAAAAATACATCTGACGGATGCACTTTTAAATTGCTCCTAAAAAACAAATAGTTGTGTATTTTAGCTACTAACAACCTAGATTGGTAAAAATAAGTAATCTAGAAACCATTGAACATCAAATTTACAAGACATAGTTTTTCATTCAAACACCCTTTTTTTTTTTTAGATAGTCTACTTAAACTTGACAGGATATAAATCTCTAACCATTATAATAAAGATCCTCAAATCCCAGAACAGTAATCTAGAAATAGACTGTAAAAATACTTACAGTAAGAAAAGTGGTGATGTTGTGGAGCCCTGTAAAATTAAATATTTTTCTTTAAAGAGAAACATTATTAGCTTTAGAAGGATCAATATTATAAGCAAGAGTTAGCAGTGCACAAAAGATGTTTCTAGAAAAGTAAAGGCACATCAAGCAACTAAAATCCCAAAGACAGTGCTCCATTTGATTTTCTGTGCTTCCCAAAACTTTTACTGTAATCACAAAAACAATTTAAAAGAATTGCTTACTGCTCAATTTTTTAGTGAGGCAAAACCATCATGACAACACTATACGAATGTTGTAGCTACCAGACAGCCAGGCATGTAAAGTGCCATTTCATCTAAATCTTTCTGCTCGAAAACTCAGCCAGAAACACAGGGTAGTGGGAGGTCTTCAATGTCCCCCTGGTACAGCAACAAGGCTGTGCAGTGTGGGTGGAAAAGCAACAGGAGACTCAAACCCTGCTATTTCCAGTCTCACTCCTTCTGTGCAAGACTCAAGGTCACCTAAGGTCACCAGGTTTTCCATTCCTATACTATTTACTACAACAGAAAAATACAGGGAGGGAGAGCTACATCCTCATAAACTACTTTTGAATGCATGTTAGAACAAGTAACCTTGTACTCTGATTATAATCCTTATCTTTTAAGTTTCCTCTGTGTTTTCATAACTCTCAAGTATACAAGGGCACAGTTTTAGAATGCTAATTTTTTTCTCTGATAATTTCGATGGCCACAGTATTGGTAATCATAAAATGGCTTTATTCAGATCAGCTAAAATTTTAGTTGCCTAATTTTAATTTTAAGATCAAACTATTCTTTTGTTTGATGGCTATCACTAACCAACAGTCAAAGAAATTAATTTTTAGAAAAATCACAGCACACCTGAGAGCCTTGAGTTTTCTTCCCATAGCTTTTCTAAGGCCATGGCTTTCTCTGTAGTATCAATAAATTCCTTTGCAAGTTCTTCTATCTCTTCCATGAAGCCTAGATCAGGTCCAGTGGCTCTCTCTGAACCACTGTGGGCGGTTGCACTATTTTTGACAGAAAAAAAGAGGGACAAGTGAGATAACACACTCAAATCAAGTAGCTGAAAAATGTGTACATACAGCAGTATTCTGATTTTTTTTAAACAATTTTATGTATTTAAACAATTTTTGTTTAGTTAAATTCATTAGCATGGAAGTTGCAGCACTGGGTCTCAAAACCTCAAGAAAGTGGGCAAGGTCACCTATGCCAATTCTGGCAGCAGCCAAGAACAGACACATCCAAAAAGTCTTTAATATTTCTGAACACACTCAACTTCTCTTTCAGGATTATCACATGTCCTGGTGGCAGTTCTTTGATGAGAAAGTTCAAGCCTTCCTATTGCATCTAAAGTAACAGTTTGTTTTTTCCAATACATACAGCAACAGATAAAAAGAGTATTTTATTCTTATTATTGGCTTTTTCCTGATCTTAGCTTGAAGACATACCACTGATAAATGTTATCTCTGTTATTTCTATCACATTGCTATCTGGTGACTACTCAACAGCACAATTTTCTAGCAATACTTTTACAAGGAACCAGGAGCCAGAGTCATTTAAATGCCTCTTTACAGGACCTAAAACGCCACAAACAAGTTAAAAATTATATTTAGCTTGTTACTAGGAAGCTGAATTCTGTTTTATCTAATAGGAGATTGAAATTATCTTAAGAGCTACAGCTTATCTACCAAAAATATTGCTATTTTGCATCAAAACCAAAATTAACTGTCACAGAATCAAAGAATGGGTCAGGCTGGAAGGGACCACAGTGGTCATGTGGTCCAACCTCCCTGCTCAAGCAGGGTCATCCTAGAGCACATGGCACAGGATTGTGTCCAGATGGTTCTTGAACATCTCCAGTGAGGCAGATTCCACAACCTCTCTGGGAACCCTGTTCCAGCGCTTTGTCCCCTGCACAGTAAAGAACTTCCTCATGTTCTGGTCCATGTGTGTCAGTTCTGCCCATTGCCTCTTGTCCTGTCCCATTTACAAAAATATAATAAAGAGTTATATTCCTTTCCCATCAAGCTTATATGCCAATACTTGCTTTCAGCACAATTTTAACTTATTGAAAGAAAAGCCTAATGAGATCAATTCACAAACCAAAGAAAGCTATCAGTCACCACTTTCTCATTCTCTTATTTCCCTTTCCCTCCCTCCCTGATTCTCATTTGTTCAGACACTTACAGAGCTGTTTGCAACTTCAGATTAAGGGAAACAAAGAACATTTCATCTTAAAACAATCAAGTTCTTAATTGTTTCAGTACAGCTTATTTTGATCCCAACTTGGCTGACAGACAGCAGGATTTTGGAAAAAACTCTCACCATCCTCAAACTTCAGTGGGCTAAAGGCATATACATATATGTTCCTCAACATATATATTTCCTTTTTAAATGGAGTTTTAAAAAGCAGCTTTCTGTTGATCAGAAGGTGGCTTTTTGGGTGACTAGTAGTTGCACTTCAGCTGTTGTCTTTGAAAACTACCTCATAAATTCCAATATTACTGAATCTCCCAGAGCCCAAAATTTCAGACAGCTGAGAATACTCGTGTCTGGCAAAGAACTGAAACACCACATACATACTGAAATCTTCCTAGCGCTCTGCTTTTTGACCGTGAGCAAGAAGCCAGCACTTGATCAGAATAACAGCAGCCACAGTCAGGACATTACAAAACCAAAACACTAGCTCAGCTTCCATGGGTTTTTTCACAGGTTTTGGTTGTCTTGGGTTTCTTTTTGTGGGGTTTGGAGGGAGTGGTGGTGTTAGATTTTCTTGGGGTTTTCCCAACAAAAATAGTTTAGTTGCTGAACATAAAATTGAAAGCTAAACTCTCCTAAGAAGGTCACTTAAAATAAAAAGTGTTCAGAGGAGTGCAGTATTTCAACCCACACCGTTTGTCCTCCAAACTAGACCCAAACCCCTAGATGGGGTTTGCATCCTCATCTACAAACCTTCTGGTTTTAGAAACATTGCAAACAACAATGCGCTGAGAAAAAAGGCCTTAATCACATATGAGCACACTGCAGGACTAATGCTGTCTCCAGGGGCTGCTGGGGCTGCCTGGCTTCCTGCCAGCAGCCAGGGACACAGACAGGAGTGACAGAAGGAATCAGTAATTCTTTCTACTCTATCCCCATCCCCAACTCTGCTGCACCTTGGATCTGCAAAGCATGGGTTGATAAACAGCAGGGAGCATGCAATAAAAAAAAAAACATCCTCGTGCTTTAGCCTCTTGTTTGATGCACAGCAAAAGCACATTAGACAACACAGGCTGAACTGACAGCAGGCTCAGCTGGGCTGTCCTTTCACTGCTCCCAGGCTGGAGGACTAGAGATACAAGCTACTGCCCTGGGAGGTCCCACAGAGCACAGCTGGGGAAAGGAGACTGGGAAAATACAGACTAGAAATATTAAAGAAAACAGCAAACAGCGCTTGGAGTATGGTGGCCCTGAAGAGCTAGAGGGCACACAGTGCAGGGAAATCATGTTGATGGTAAACGTGGAGAGGGAGCTGAGAAACTCTAGGGGGTTGAGGATATTTAGGGCATGGCAAAAGGAGCAAATCCAAGGCATAAGACCCAGCTGTTACAGAAGAAAAGGCACATGTGCAATCTGAAAGACCCATAGAAATGCCACTTTCCTAAGCACAAGCCTCTCAGCAGTCCAAGAGCAGCTGTTTGGACGTGCTGGCTGTGAGCTATTAGCTTTGTGGGGATTTCCAGGTCAGCTGCCATGTCAGCTAGCTGCCATTTGTGACCCTCTTTTGCCATCATTGTCACAGACCTGCCTCTCGCTATTCTTGGATCTGAGCACAGCCTCTTTATGAAGGGGAAATGGCAACAGGTATGACACTGGTTATCAGGCTCAGTTTTATGAAACATATTAAATTATTACAGAGATCTTACTTGCTGAATATCCATACTAAGATTGAGGGATTTTATATAGCATGGTAATAGAGGACTACATTTAGCTCCTAATAAGAGTGCTACAAGTTACTACTGATCTCTTAATTCAGCACAGGTTATACAAAATTGCAGGAAGATGTCACCATCTTGCCAGAAAGATAAGAAACTACACTTCAAAACCAGCTTCAGAGACAGTCAAAGCAAAGGATTTTCAGCCAGTGTGCCAACAAAAGTACGTAATTGTTGTACTGCCACCCTCCCAAAGAGCCTTCAAACTGTGCTTTCTGGAGCAGAAGGCAGCATTAACTCATTTGTGTGTGAATGTGTAAAGGAAGTCCAGCAGCCGTACCAAGGAAATTCCTAGCAGCAGTTGCTAGGAACAGTAAAGAGGGGAAGCAAGGGATAATAAAAAATACAAAAGGAGGAAGCAGTAATTTGTAGGAGAGGACATACATAATTAGAACTGGGGTGTTAGAAGAGGGGGTGGGGGAGTTTATATATAAAATTTCATTATCATCCATGGTAGCTCTTCACTCAACTGTACATTTCCACAAAGTTCACGAGAACAGAAATCAAACTGAAGACATACATTGGTACAAGTTTTGATTGTGACCAAATACTGCAAAAGAGCAACAAGACTGCATCTCTTTGAGCATGTAAAAGCAATTGTCATTTCCTAAAGCCATTACTCAGAAACATTAATTCTGTCCAATTTACTCAGTTACTCAGGATAACAAAAAAAACATTTCAGAGTTCATCTGAGAACTCAGCTATGATCTGAAATGCCTTTTAGACTCCTGATTTTCATAAGCATCTCAGCAAACTCGTCTCAACCTCACCCCTGTCACCACTTTAATAATTTCTCTCTAAAATTGCAAAGCCCCAGCTGGCTTCCATTCTGCACTATATCAGGGTTTTATAAGTCTGGAGACATCAATACCAATACACACACTGGACTGTGTGTCTCTCACAGAAAGATCTTTCTCTTCCATGTTGATACAATTATAACCTTCCTAAAATGCAATGGACTGAAATACATAACAAACTAAAAAAATATGTTCTTCTTAATTTGCTCTAAAATTAAGAAAACCCGTGTTTAAATTTCCTTTTCTCTACAACTCCGGGAATCTATAAGCCAGGTCACAAAAACTGCTTCTGTTTTTCAGCTACACAGCCTGCAACTACAAAAGTAAAAGATGGCCCAGACCACAGAGCTAATACTGCAGAAAGTTGCTGCAGCCATAAGCTATCTCAAAGAACTATTTCTCATTTGAAGATATATGCCACTAAAGAAAAAACTGACCCTTTAAGCAATTAGTACACAAAGATTTTTGCTGACGCTTAGACCTTCCTTGATTTTATTCCTCCACACCTGCTGTTGTACATGAGCTCTTCTGATGCTCCTCCACTGGAGAACTCAGGCCAGGTATTGATAAAGCAAAAGGTTTAGAACAGTAAGAAGAAAGGGGCTGGCCTGAGCAGGGCTGCTCCAGGAGGGGGCCCAGCTAGGAGCTGGGACAACCCTGGAACAGTCCATGCCCTCACCAGTGAAACACAGTCCCCCAGGCTGCCTGCAGGCAGGCACAGGGGTGTGTTACAGGCTCCAGAGACAGCCCCAAGAAGGCAGGGTGAGCCCAGGAGCCCAATCAGGTGCAAAAGGAGACAGAGTTACCACATGGGTGTGAGTGGCACATCCAGCAGAAGTGCCAGAGACAGACCTGAGATTCTACCACATCTACTGGGTGAGGCTGCTTAGGCTCCTACCACGTGTAGCTAAACAAACTAATGTGCTTAGAGAAATAAGCTAATAAGGAGAAATAAACAAATGTGCTTAGAAATTATATTTTAGAGTCTTGGTTTAATGATATTTGTGGTTCTAAGTCTGAGAATGGCTTAATTTTCTTTTAGGTCTTTGAGAAGTCTAACTAACATAGATCTAGGAGTCTAGACTGCAAGGGCAAATCCCACCATGTTCTGCAAGAATCGCCAGGGAATCCAGAGTACTGGAAATCATGATGTTTCCATGCACATGCATGGAAAGGTGTGGGTGTAAGGCCACAGGACTCTGGGGCTGTGTGGTTTTTATCTTATTTTCATGCTCTCAGTTTTACACTGTGCTCCACTAAGTTGTGGAGTGGAGTGGGGAATGGAACATTCTGGAAAGAGCAAGGAAAAATGTCCTTTGTCATGAATACTTCCTTGTTCCTCTGCTCTATCAGTGGGTATATCAGGCTAGGGAAGCATACCAGTGAGCTGCCAGCCAGCAGCTTTCGCACTGGCTGAAAAGAGGAGCAAGGAGCCACAGAGCTCTTGCAACTGGATGCTTTCCAAAGCATCAAGGAGGTGGCAGATCTTGCTGCAAATCAAAGTTAATATGGTTGTAGGCTTCAACTGGCTCATCTTCTCACCACATCACAGGCTGTTGCCTGAAGGGACAGGGGCACATCTGTGAGGGCACAGCCTGCAGCAGAATAACTTCACCCTGGGCTCAGCCCCCCTCAAGGTGGGGGGCTGCTCACTGACAAATAGCTATTTGTGGTTTATGGATTCCATGGAGGTTCCAGCAGTAGTCATAGAACTACTTACTTCCAAACACAGCTACTACATTTCAAAGTGATAGCACCAAAGTGTTACATACTGTGAAAAAAAAGGGTCAAGTGTCCATGCAAACTATGCAGTCTCTGACTCACTCTTAATAAACACAATATTATTGATATAAAAAAAGGTTCCTTTATCAGGCTTATGGTTTGATATAAATCCTTGAAGGGAAGACAATTGATATTACTGTTCCTATGACACCCCATCTCTCCAGTCAACAGGGACTGGATTCAGTTATGTTTGACTGATCAAACTGACAGTCTATATTCCTAAGGCTGTTGGCAGCCAGCATAAGTCAGAGCAGCCCTGAGGTTGATTTAATTTATACTGATGGACCTGGTGGAACAGGCTGACCTCAGAATGAACTTCATCCTACCTTTTTAGCCTTTTTCTTTACCTAGGCTATATGCTACTCAGTGCAGCCTATTGAGTGCATAAATATGGATACATGCATGCATTTTATTTTTCAGTTGAATAATTGAAAACCACTGAATAATTGCCCTGATTCTTAAGTAGGTCTAAGACTGCCTCCAGGAAATTCTCTCCTGATTTTCTATTGAGCTGGAACATAATTTGGGCAGTTCAGTCAAAACAGTGTAAATAATCATGCAGAGCAGACAATATAGTTCATAGTTGCTAGAAATTTAACACATTTGGATAGCATCTGAACTAGTGATGTAAATAAAAGCTGTACTTTTAGGGAACAAATTTTTAAAAGGCTAGAGTTAGGGTAACTCTTTAACCCAGTAATATAGAATTTCTACTGTAAGAGGTGACAGGCTTTGTACTAAGTTTGAAAGACCACAGCACAGGTTTGGTTTGCCTGAACTTGGTTTGGTTTTTTTGGTTTGTTTTTTTTTTTTTTTTTTTTTTTGACTTGGGTTCACTTTACCTTTTTTTATTTTCCTGGCTGGACAACTCTGGAATTTGCTTTTTTTCACTTGTCACTGCATAACACCATCACAGTTTTATACAGACAGAAGTAGCAAGTGACCATTTAGTGCAAAATGAGATATTTATGGCTAACAAGGCAGTGCAGAAGACACAGGCCCAGTATAATAGGTGAGACCTTGAGAGGTGAGGACAGATATGAACTGCACTGGAATATAATACAGGAGTATCTGGGATGATGAGAGGTGGGGCACAGGCTGGTACTGAGGGCTAGAAACAAGTCACCAGTGTTTAGTTCAAATTCAGAACTGTAGCTGGACAAAGCCAATTTCTAAGCATCAAGAAAAAATTGTAGGTAGCTAACATATGCAAAAAACACCATATACATTCAAGTGTATAACATAAGCTTGAATGTATCCCAGAGCTGCAGACCAGTGGAAACAAAGTAGAAAAGCACACTAGCAAACACAAGTGACCCCAAGTGCACCCTCAAATGAAAAAAGAAGCCATCAACACCACATTCCTCTGAGTAAAATACTGTATATCATGACTTGCCATAACAACCCCACCTCCATCCATCTACAGCTGTTTACAGGACCCGGAGCACCAGTGGAAAGGTGAGCATAACCCCAGAGAAAGGACTGGATGGAAACTCAGTGGTCATGTAACAATTTTAACTGTATTAGTGGGAGGAGGAGGAGACAGAGGAGAATTGTCATACAGGTATTTTTGTCTGTAAGTATCTTGTGTAATAATGCATCTTGACTAATACTGGCTTAAATTGTTAAGATGTCGATTCTAGTAACAAATTCTACTTTACGTATAACGTGTTTGCCCATAAATAAGGTTTATTTTGTGTGTTCTTATGCTCAATCAACAGTTCTCTACATGTACAAATAACTGAAGCAGACCATCTTGATCAATAGATGAGTATTATGGCCTATTACTGTGATACTGCAGCTTCCCAACTTGCTGTATGCTGAATTTATTGCTACCTATAAACTTCTACAATAATAAACCATAAATATTTGGTTCTCTGACACACCTGGCTCAGCCTTCAAAGATCTTTTGGTAGATATTATCAATTTTCTAGGAATAAACATACAGATATAAATGTTTATATTCTGATTAGCTGAACGTAATTTGACTTTGTTGTTATATATTTTGAAAGGCTGTTTATGACTGTACCCTTCAACCAGTTTGCATAAGTGTCTTGCATCTGAAGAATTTTTGGAGTAGATGAAATTATTTCATTTCTTAAAGAAAAACTCCAAATTAAAATCAATCTCTTTTTTTTCTGCATGCTAGGATCCTGTGACAAGGACTTATGGGTAACTTCTAAGTTCTTTCTTATTACAGAACTTCTTTGTGGTCTTATTTGAAAGTTATTCTTGTTTTGCTTTTCTGGGTTCACTTCTCCCACTGCATATACTCCCAAACTATTCAAAGCTGAAATCCACATATCATTTTGGTGCTCAGCTTCACTCACTTCATGTAATAAAAGACTTTCAGTAAATTATAAAAGTATGCTCTCACACAACATTACAGCAGCAAAAGGGAAAGAATATGACAAGGTACAGCTATAATTTTATCCCCCCAGAGTGTTCAGTATCCAAAAAGGCATGAAATGCCCAAGAAATGTAAACAAAAATTATCAAGAGGTACGACTAAGGCCTTATACCTTTTGCAGTCATAAGAACACTGAAGGAAACTTTTAGCACAGAATAACATTGCTCCTATTTTTCCTATCTACGAGGCAGTAAGAGCCTTTTCTGTAAAAGAAGATGCACTGTGACAGTGGCAGCTTTGTCGTAACCCACCTAAAGCGGCCGTGTCTCTGCGCTGTGTAACTGGTATTCCTGCATCTTGAACCAACGTTACAGAAAAGGGTCCGCATGAAAGGATAAAGGCCCCGACTCGGTAAATCACGAGCTTCTAAGTAACCTGAAACCAAGCAGCAGCAGAAATGGGACCAGTAATATTGCATTTGCAAACTATACCATCATGTTGTGCTTCCTTTTCCTAAAAAGCCTCTTTGTCACCTGCAAGCAATGAAGTTGTATCAATGTCAGTTGTCTCATTTAAGAAAAACTCAGTCATCACGGAAAATGAGTAACCTCTGTGTCAGATTGTGACAACAAGCTACATGTGACATTTGAAAGCAATCTTTGAAGAGCTGATTTTCCTGGTAGTAACATTATTGCAGTATCATGTGGTTGCTAGCCCCTCTGCCCAAAATCATGTAACCTGGATTGGAATATAGACTTCTGCACAAAGTGATATTTCCTATTTTCTCACAGGCTTTCAAAAAATCAAGGAACTGGTGTTCAGCAGTGTCTGAACATGCATCAATCAAGACTGTCTAAACAGCTACTTTTCCACATCTCTAGAATTATCCACAGCTCTCTATAAAGTAAATATATATAATGCAGGCTCCATTCTCTCCAGATAATTCACTCTACTGATCTAGAATTGTTTTACCAAACTGATTTTTAATGTAGCTAAAGCTGGTTTATCCCCATTTTACTGCATTGGTGAATAACAGAATAATAAACTGAATAGATAATAATATAATAAATAACTATTTTCTAAATTAATTATATTTTGACAAGATAAAAGCAAAAATAGCTTTATAAGGTGGAGAGAGTTTTGAAGTGTTAAAGGAAATGGAAGAATTGAACAAAATATTAATTCTTAATCCCAGGAAGTGAGTAGGGGTGAGGTTCATCTTGTCTAATTGTAAATATCCACCTCTGAGGCAGTCATCTAAACTCCATTACTCAGTAGAAAGCAATAAATACAACTAAAACCAAAATAACCTCCCTCACTCCAAAGCTGACATTTAAAAGTTGTCTTACCAATCAGATCGTAAACTTTGCATCTCTTTCCCACATAAATACAACTTCCTCAGACCTGCAGCTGGACAAGATTGAATCCTGCTGTAGGACTCTTTCCATTGACTCCACTACATTTAAGTGCCCCCTTCTAGGATGTCTTTAGTGTTTGCTAAATACTTCTACAAGTAGAAGCAGCCAAAATAGAACACAAGTGAAATAAAACATACAGTTTTCCTTGTATTTTGGGGGCTCCTGGAAGCGGATGGCAGCTAGAATCAAGAAAAGTACACATGGCCACAGTATTTCAGTGAGAGAGAGGACCTGAAAAAGGAAATCAGAACATCAGAACATCAGTCTATAGAACATAGGGTTTGGGAACAAATCATTAAAATTCATATGTCTTTTACTTTAAAATAAAAACATTATATATCCTCTCTACAACTATTTAAGGAAAAACAAGACCATTAAAGCAAGCTAACAACTGACACTTCTATTGTAAATCCTTATAGCTTTGTGAAATGCACTTCTTTCAGAACAGAAAAGTAGTTTTCATTTCAGTTTATACTGTTTGTAGATACTTTCCTCAGGTCAAGACAAAGACTGGCAACATAATGATAGTGACCTTCAACTTTCCCATACCTGAGCCTACTAGGAAGCCAGCAGCATGCTGCACCTTGGTGAAATTCTTCATGCTCCCCTGAGCCCTTCCTGGTGGCAATACCTTCTTGTCCTTCCTTGACTCCCTGGCTGCTGCCATCACACCCTTTCTGTCACCTGCACTCAAATGCTCTCCAAAAGCCACCTTTGTCATTTCCAGAAGGGAAGACCAAGTGAGACCAAGCTAACAGGCCTGAGGCTGCCCACAGCCACATTTCTCATATCCCAGTGTTCCCATTTCCAGAGCCACAATAAGGCACACAAGCCAACATGCAGCAGGACTCAGATTTTGAGTGTGTCTTCTCTGAGCAGATTGCACATACACAGCACACATTCACGCCTCTGTGGAGAGGGCACAAACTCCCAAATTGATTGGAAGGAAGAAAAAGAAACACCAAGAAAAGCAATTGTGCCAGTTTTAAGCAGCAGAAAGGAAGAAACAGCCATTCAGCCAAGTTTCAAAAGACTTCTAGATTCACTGATGACAGCATTAGGAAAGTATTAATAGGGACAGAAACACAGTAGAGGTGACAGCCATGCTGAAGGTCTCCCATTAGAGGCTGTTCAGAGGGATTTTATTTCTAAACTGTCAGAGTTGAACCAAATCCCATCACAGAAGTAAACTTGGGTGTGTCAGAAAAATGCCTAAGAATCATAAGAAAAAATCCAGTGGCTGAGTCTTCCCCTTGGAGAAGGACACCTGTGCTGGACATTAGACAAGGAACTAAGATTTCCAGAAATTTAGGGATATCGCCATTTATCTAAACTGATCATACTCATGATCAAACAACGCAGGAGCCAGCCTAATAAAAGGGAGGATTGTGCTTTCAGTCTTTTAGGGGTCACCAAGAGCCTGCTGCTCCTGAGGGTGCAGGGATCTGTGTGTGACACCCAGCAGGGCAGGGGATCCATCCAGGTACCCCAGAAGGGGAGCAGGGCAAGGCCTGCTATCACAGCCAGTCTTAACCAGGAGTCCAGATCCTCGGCCAATGTCACAGCACGTCAAGCCAAGCAGTGTCCAAGCACAGGGGCTGAGCTGGAGAGCTTCTCTCAGGCAGGAGGGCACAGAAACCCAGTTTTGGCTTGGGCTGCTCAGAGCCATTAAACTCAGCAGAGGCCCAGAGCCCTGACAGCATCCTCCCCTCCTTGGCATATTCATCCCCATTCCTCCTGTCTGGGGTCAGATGCTGTGGAGCAGAGCCATTGCTGCAGAGTGTCCGTGGGCTCTCTGTGGAGAATGGAGCCAGCTGCAGCAGCTGAGGGAAGGGCCACTGCAGAAGACACTTGGGACGGGATGTCAGCAGCCTGCCCTGTAGGGGCTGGAAAGGGTCCAGCTGTCCCTGGGGGCACACACCACCACCATAAGAGCCCACAGGCAGTGGCTGGGGGAAGGTCCCACAAGTTCAGGTGGCGAGTGGGGGACCAGAGCTCGAGGGCTTTATAGGAGAAGGCCCGGACAGCCACAGGCTGGGCTCCCTGCTGCCACTCAGGGCTCAGGACAAGCCCAGCTAGCAACCAGGGCACAGCACGAGCCAGCTGCTCCCTGAAGGACAGGGAGCCAGGCTGGTGCCAGGGCAGCTGGGCCTGGCCAGGAAGGGCCTGGCCAGCAGTGCCCCAGCAAGGCAACAGGCTCTGCTGGGAGCCTGGGTCTCCAGGGGAGCCAGGGCTAAGGCTGAGCTGGGAATGAGGGGATAGGGAATGACTGCTGCTCCTGCTGACAGGAATTTAGGATAAGAACTGAGATGCAGAGGAAACAACAGGTTGGAGGACACAATGAACCACCAGCATGCTGCAGGCACTGAGCATGCAAAACTGATCTTAACAACTAAGTGATTTCTTCTACACATGGGGAAGTAAAGCTGCTGTATAAGGATTACTTGTGTTCAAATAGGAAAAGTGTCCACAGAAGGTCCAAGGAAAAAGTATTTGCGACATTGCAGGATTGCAGTCCTTGCACAGCTGCTTTGCCCAGGCACTGAGGGGAACTGGAGCCTGAGAGCTCATGACATTCTGGGGAGATGCACCTGGGAGGAATGGTGAGTTTTGGTAGCAGAGGTTTAGGACACAGCTGATTTTAATTCCAATTGTCCTCTAAATTAGGGCATCAGAATTTGGGAATCACATTTCATCCTTTACCTAGCTACAAATTTGGATGGTAATAAACATTATTTAAATGACAGTTAAGAAATGCAGTGATGGAGAACTAAAGTAGCCTGGTAGTGTGTATGTCCTGAGCTTCTAGAATCTGTAGTAAAAGTAGAAGTAAAAGCTTCTGAAAACAGAAATAAGAATGTACCTTTGGCACAACTGCAATTTCATACTCCAGCAAGTCAAAACGTACAAAAGAACCTGTCCTGCCTTTGAATCATGTTGGTAGAAGGTGCTGATGCCACTTGTGAATTTCAGTCACAAGACCTGTTCCTTACAGAACTCTTACATCTGTCACAGCCCCTTCACCCTTCACTGTGTAATATCGACTAATGGCACATGGCACTCTGAACACTTTGCTAGCTCATCAGCCCTAACTGCTGATAAACAGCCATCCGGAGAAAATTGTCTTATACAGACAGATCTACGTGGTATGGAACAGCGCTGAAGCACATCAGATCTTTCAGGAGGTGTTTCTCTCTTCAGATTCACAAGGGTCTCACCATCTCTGCATAGGTGGATGATCCAACCTGGATTTCTCCCCCCGTACTGCAGATGGAAGCACCTTCACAGCTCAGTGCTTGCACAACAGCACACAAGGAGGTTTTGCAAGTTCCCCAGGGCAGCTTCTGCCTCTCGACAGACAGAATGAAGTTTGCTTTGGATCACCCTTGTGATCACTCCTGGCTTGGAGAAGTCTGCTTCTCAGTGAGTTCTCTATTCAGGAAATCTACCAATTAAACAAACTTATGACTTACATGAACTAAGATTTTTTTATCTTTCAGAAATATATGAGGGAACACAACACAGAACAAGAGGAGAAATAGATCCACATGCAGGAAAACAGGAGATACAGAGAAGCCACTTGATGCACTCCGATTGAACTTAAGAACTGTACAGACATGGAGAATAACATGACCAACAGCATCCTTCCCCCAAAAGTATATTTCATATTAGAAAACATCACTTTCATTAACTTGGGGAAGAAGTTCCTCTCTAAGTCTCTATTTTATTGAGGCTAAATATTTCTGAAACTGAAAGCTGTGTGCTTGTTTAATTGAAATAATCCTATCCAAAGCAGACAACATGCTTCACTGCAAATCCCCAGATCATTATAAACAAGTGAAATCTGTATGAAACTATTAATTGAAGTGAGAGAACATTTTTTCCCCACAAAAATGTTCTCTCACTTGAGAAAACTCACTTCCTTCTATCCTATTTTTTTTTCCATCACAGTAAAGGTAAAAGGCATCAAATATCTAATTTTCATCATTTTAATTTTGACTTCTGTTTTAAGCAGCTGTTTTCTGTTTTAAAACATTATTTTGCATATTGGAATTTGAAAGGTTAAATTAGGCTTTGGAGAGCAGATAAGAAAGGAAATTAAGAAGTTTATGCAATTTTAATACACAATACATTCCCTGTATCTAGACTTTGATCACAGTCATGCAAGCTTTCTTACATTACCTATAAGCACCTGTAATGTGAAAAAAAATTATTTTCTTTCTTGCCACTGCTAACCTGCACTGCTAGTATCTAATGTTAATTAAAAGATAAGAAGTGCCTCTTCAAAATTTTTATGACATTTGTCTTATTTGCAAATTGGGGAGAATTGGTGTATTCAGCCATTTTAGAACTAAAACAACACGTTCTCTTCTTGTGTTTTTAACAATTAGGTGACAAAAGGCAAAACAAGAACCACTTGCAGCCAGCCTGTCCTTAACAATCTGCAGTGAAAAGGGAAAACCGATAGACACACCCTTTCCAATACTAAATACTAATACTAATATTTCCAGATACAAAAAAAATTTAAATATTCCTTTTTTAATTATTTCCAAGCACTCACCGGTTGCCTCACACGGCAGAGCCAATTTTTCCAAAACAGAGCCTTGAATTGGTGCGTAGCATGCCCCATATCTTCTTTTCTTTCCTTCATCCAGTTGCAGAGGGGACTTTCTAACTCAGAATCATCTCACCAAGGAGTCCAAACGTATTATTCAGAGGCTGATTAATTCCAGCACTAGTGAATAGTGCAGGAGATTTGCCTGCTTCCTCAGAAAAGATGAGATTATGTTTCTGCCTCTTGTTTTGCTTTCATTGAGGAATCTCATCTTTCTGTTTTTCTTCTCAGTGCAATGAACAGTAAGGGGATGGGTTTATAGAAATGCCTTCAGGCTGCTTTACTCCACAGCATACATTTTGCACTTGTTTCTACTTTTCTGGAATAAAAATGGATGCAAAAAAACAAAGGGATGGGGAAAGAATATGTAACACACATTTATCTTTTTACAAAGTTTTGTGACTTTTTGTCACTTTAGTGTTTATGTCTGTTTGTTTGCAGATGCTCATAGTTTTGAAAAAAAATAGTAGGAAAATAAATAGGAAAATAAATAGGAAAATAAGTCTGTTTCACAACATAGCCCTAAAAATGTCAGTATGCTTCCAGAACATCCTTGTAAGTACACATCCAGCACTATAGTGGTCCCAATGCATCATCAGATGACTGTTGAATTTTCTCTTGTGGAGGGTGTATGTCTGACATTTTATTCTCTTTACCTACATAGAGGGGCAATATTCCAACAATAAAAAACTCCATTAATTAATTTCCACATGCCACCTGGGATGAAAATCAGTCTTACAGCAGCAGTTCCTTCAGCAAAGAGGTGGGAGAGCAATTCCTTCTGCAGAAGGGGAGCATGTGCAGACCTGTGGTAGCAGAGCCAGTGGGAGATCCAGCAGGAATCTGGTCGCGCAGAGGATGACCACCCTTCCCACCAGGAATGACACTGTCAGCAGAGGACTAAACTTTCTGGTTTGGTGGGGTTTTTTTTTGTTTTTTTTTTTTTGTTCTACACAAATGAATTGCCTAAGAATCTGATCCCCAAAAGCTCTCTCTTATGGTCAAAAGAGACACATAATACAGCATTATATAAGGTAATTCAAACCATCTAGAATCCCAGTCATGATTCACACACACACACATAGGACAGCATGATGCCTGAACAAATATTCTTTATTTCTTATTATTGCTGAGTAATTTGCATAATTGTACTATCTACAAATATATTCTTATTGAATGAAAGACGCAATCTAACATCCACAGCTATTTTTCTTCATTAAGAGTAAAATCCCCCAAAATATAAAAACTTTTTTGATACAAAAGTCATCAAAGAGGAATCCAACTTCCATTAGATTTAAGCCAAGGCAGCATTTTAAAAGTTAATAAATCTGCTACTTCTGCAATGAACAATTGCACATCTGCAGGTCTAATTAGTTATGCCAGTTTCTACAGGATAAGAATCAGCTTGTGTTGAGTGCCTTAGCTTCTCTTTCCCAGGCTTTGGGTTTGGGTCACCCAGCATCAGTTTTGGCCCTTCAGAGCACATTCTAAACTAAGTTAGAATTCCACTTCCTGGGAAACTGACTGATTAGTCTGTTAAAATATCTCTATTTGAAATGGTGCAAATTTCTGCTTTAATTTTTACCTTTTCTATGGTTCAAGGAATAGAGAAAAAAACAGACTAAGGTGTCATGAATTCATCAGTTTTACATACTGGTCAACATCACCTCCCAAAAGACAGAAATCACAGAGAAGTCATGGCAGAATATGACTAGCTAAACACCTTCATTTCTCAAATATGGTGGGATTTCCTTTTATATTCTCTGCTCTGAGGCTGAAAAATTACTGAAGTAATCATTTAGTTCAAAGAGAAATGTGAAAGTCCTCAGGACATACTAAAAAACTAAATAGTTTAATGTTTACCTGAATGACTTTAAGCACATATGTATTTTTGAGTCAGGATTAACTAATACCTTACCCAGGAACTCCACTTCACACTTGGATGGCATTTCTTTCAGTCAAGCAGTGCTAAAATGACTGCTGTTTCAGAGGATGGGCAGTCATTTTTCTTGCTAGGATCAAAGATGACATTCTGTGATAGCAGTGATGCAAATTCTGTGCACAGCAGAAGTATGCACTTTGAAACAAATTTTTTTTTTTTCAGAAACTGAAATTGAAATACTGTTAATTGTTAATATGTGTGAGATCACACAGCCATTCTGGAAAGCCAGGGACAAGAATCCTTAGAATGTGATTTGTAGGAAGTTATAAATTACTCAGCATAATGAATTACAAGCAGTTACTTATCAAAACACCTGATATGGAAGAGAGTTCCTGTCTGTCTGTGTGTGAGCTAAAGCAGCTCGCATGAACCATCTGCCAAATTATTTTGAACAAAACTTTCTGCAAAATCTCTGCCTATCCGACTGTGATGTGTTAATTTATTATGCTCTATATAATTACATTCTCATAAATGTGGCATTCTATTTTCATTGAACCAATTATTTTGTATGCAATTAGTGTCCAGTACTAATGAACTACTGACTCCCCATTCTACTGTGTAAGACACTCAATAGACAAACACCTTTCACCATCAAGTTACGTTGACTTCATTTGTCTCTTACTTCATTAGCGAAGTCTCTCACTTCCTATAGAAATTCAATCTTGCCTCATTTTGTGTCCTCCAGTGGCAGACCTACTTTTTTCTAGAATGAAGTTTAGGAAAGTAAAAGATATCCATTCCACCAAGAACAATCGCTGCAGTGACATTCTGGGAAATTACTTCTAAAAGTAATTTTAGAAGACACAGATTCTATGAGCTTGATTGTATTATTTTGAATGTCATAGAAATATGAGAATTATTAAATGAAACAATCACCCCCCAGCCCCAAACAAACCCTTGGCACAAAAGATATAGTATGAAAATGAAACACAGAGGCAGGAAAATCCAAGGAGTAATGAACATGTTTTGAAAGATGCATCAGCTATATTGCTGCCTTCCTGGAAGCTCTTTTGAATTCCTAGGTTTCATCAGGAGAGCATCAAGCAGTATCCTGTGCACGTACCAGCCTTAAATATCTATATTAACTATATAATTACTTCGCTATAAACGGGTAATAGCTATATTAACTGAATATTTTCAGGGTTCCTTGACAAAGTGGCTGTAGTCAACAGCAACATCTTGAGTATTGCAGGGCAAATTAGAAAGGTATGGATTTCATCATGTGCTCCACTCCCTCCTTCTGGAATGGAAACAAAAACAGGCTCAGAATTGGGTCTCTGAGTAAAGACAAGACAGAGTGATCTGCCCTTTTTTTGCTTCTGCTTACCTTTAGCAGGCTTTGCCTCAGTTTTAACTCAAAACTTTACTTTTATAATATACAAGTTATCCCAAATCACTGGGCTGAAAAGACAGAAAAGCTCCTGCCAGCATCCAGCTCTGGTTTTAAAACTTGACTGCTTTATAGTATCATACCATCAACACGCCACGTCTAGCCTACAGTTTTAATACAATGTAATTAGAGTAGGCTGGCAAGCACTTTCAAAGAAACATAATTTTATATGTTAAATAGGTTGAAGCCCGGGAGCCAACAATACTGTTTGGTATGGACAGGAACGCAGTCAAATCATGCGAGAATATGGCTGGGAATCTGGCAAACAAACCTATTTTCCTATCACCACCCACCACTTCTTTCACAAGGTTTATTAAGTAATCACAAGGCTTTCCTTTTAATGTTAATAGGAGTACTACTTGTAAATATTTACATGGGCCAGACCTGTGTTCAGACAAAGTGCCTGCAGGATGACATCAATTAGTAGCATCTTTCCTGGGAGACGCTTCGTGTGTGCAAAGTTAGGGCCTGATGAAAAATGTTAGTTGTGGGCCAGGTCAAATAATGGGGCTGATTAAAATGGAGCTATGTGTTAAACCAACAAAACAGACCCAGTCTCCCAAGGAAGCTGGTAGTTTGTTTGAACTTCTGGGGAGCTCTAGGAAATTTACTCTCGTAAAATGACAGACTGATAGGAAATTGAAAATTTTCTCACAGCTACAAGCTCAGTGCCAACAAGAAACGTCTGGAATCAGGCTCATGTGTCATGTAAAACCAGCTCTTGTCTGTCTTTTGCTGCTGCTTCACTTTTTTTGTAGCCCAAGCAAAAGCACTGTACCTGTCAGCATTACTCTTTCTTCTATTATTGTACCACAGAGTTTCAGATTTAATATTGATCTGTTCAGCAACTCCTTTCTCTTCAGCAGAAGACTTTCTGGACTTGTAATTTAATCCATACTCTGGAGCATAATATTAAATGGCAATTATTTTAGAAAGATAAAACATTAATTTTAGTCACTCAAAGACTGACAAACTTTCAGGAAAAGCAAACCTCAACATTTTGTAGCAAACCAAAACAGTAACATCAAATCACACGACTGTGCCTTCTTGTATTCTGTTGTTACACACAGATCCATCCCAAAAGCCCAATTTGCTGCTTTGGTTTTCTTTCACCTGATTTTAATGGAAATTAAAACCACCCCTGATTCAGCCATACAACCATTTTATTTAGGAGTATATATTGAGATCTCAACTTTAAAAAAATCCAGTTCTGTTCCACAATGCACTGAAAATCCTTTAAAAAGAAGAATGTTAAAAAAATATTGCTTATTACATGCACATACTTTCAAGAAATACTGAAATTATCAAATTATTTCACTTGGTTTTTAAAGGACAAATAAAAAAATTTGTTGTCTAACCAGTTCTGGACACAGGTCATTCCATAATGTTCCTTGTCAGGATTTCTCACACCTTCATTTAAAGAAAATCCTTCTCTGAGATATATCAAGATGACAAAAATAAAAAAAATCCACTCCTTCAAATAACTGCCTCAGTTCCTGCTCTTTTCAGTCTCTTGCAAATGTAAAACCATTGCATTATAGCCTGTCTTCATTATGATCTCAACCATTTCTTTAACAAAATGATAGGAATAGGCCAGAACACCATGACTCACAGAAGAAACCATTGGTAGGAACCACTTTTTTCTCCCTTCCTGCTTCCACTCTATTCACATCTTATGCATTC